GGGGGCTGGAGTCGTATACCCCGCCTGGTATAGAGGTCCTGGATGGCAGGAAGCTTGGCCCCAGTGATGTACTGGGCCGTACGCACTACCCTCTGTAGTGCCTTGCGATCGGAGGCTGAGCAGTTGCCATACCAGGCAGTGATGCAACCAGTCAGGATGCTCTCAATGGTGTAGCTGTATAACCTTTTGAGGATCTGAGGACCCATGCCAAATATTTTCAGTCTCCTGAGCGGGAATAGGCTTTGTCGTGCCCTCTTCACGACTGTCTTGGTGTGTGGACAATGATAGTTTGTTGGTGATGTGGACACCAAGGAACTTGAAGCTCTCAACCTGCTCCACTACAGCCCCGTCGATGAGAATGGGGACATACTCGGTCCTCCTTTTCATGTAGTCCATAATCATCTCCTTTGTCTTGATCACGTTGAGGGAAAGGTTGTTATCCTGGCACCACGGCCAGGTCTCTGACCTCCTCCCTATAGGCTGTCTCATCGTTGTCGGTGTTGTGTCGTCGGCAAACTTAATGATGGTGTTGGAGTCGTGCCTAGCCATGCAGTCATGGGTGAACAGGGAGTACAGGAGGGGACTGAGCACGCACCCCTGAGGGGACCCCGTGTTGAGGATCAGCGTGGCAGATGTGTTGTTACCTACCCTTACCACCTGGGGGGCGACCCGTTAGGAAGTCCAGGATCCAGTTGCAGAGGGAGGTGTTTAGTCCCAGGGTCCTTAGCTTAGTGATGAGCTTTCAGGGCACTATGGTGTTGAACACTGAGCTGTAGTCAATTAATAGCATTCTCACATAGGTGTTCCTTTTGTCCAGGTGGGAAAGGGCAGTGTGGAGTGCAATAGAGATTGCATCATCTGTGGATCTGTTGGGGCGGTATGCAAATTGGAGTGGGTCTAGGGTTTCTGGGATAATGGTGTTGATGTGAGCCATGACCAGCCTTTCAAAGCACTTTATGGCTACAGACGTGAGTGCTACGGGTCTGTAGTCATTTAGGCAGTGTGACGAGTACTGAGGATACGAAGAGGCAGGACGCAGACGCAGGAATCAAAAATGTAAAGGTTTACTTAACACTGAGCATGAGAACAACAAAGAGCGAGTACACGACAAGACACTAACAATCACACACAACACAACACTGAACAGTCCAGGGCTATATAGGGGTGGTGATGAGATGATGAGGTGCAGGTGCGCTGGAGGTGATTAGGGTGCGTTGGGTTTCCATTCCGGTGTTGCCGAGGTGGTGTGCTCAGACTGGTGGCTCAGTAGACCGGCGAATCAGAGCGCCGGAGGGGAACAACGGGAGGAGAAGTGACAGGCAGGTTACATTAGTGTTCTTGGTCACAGGGACTATGGTGGTCTGCTTGAAACATGTTGGTATTACTCTCACATACAGTCAGGGACAGGTTGAAAATGTCAGTGAAGACACTTGCAAGTTGGTCAGCGCATGCTCGGAGTAATCCGTCTGGCCCTGCGGCATTGTGAATGTTGACCTGTTTAAAGGTTTTACTCACATCGGCTACGGAGAGCGTGATCACACAGTCGTCCGGAACACCTGATGCTCTCATGCATGCTTCAGTGTTGCTTGCCTCGAAGCGAGCATAGAAGTAATTTAGCTCATCTGGTAGGCTCGTGTCACTGGGCAGCTCGCGGCTGTGCTTCCCTTTGTAGTCTGTAATAGTTTGCAAGCCCTGCCACATCCGACGAGCGTTGGAGCCGGTGTAGTACGATTCAATCCTAGTCCTGTATTGACACTTTGCCTGTTTGATGGTTCGTCGGAGGGCATAGCGTTCCTAGAAAGCGGCAGCTCTACCCTTTAGCTCAGTGCTGATGTTGCCTGTAATCCATGGCTTCTGGTTGGGGTATGTACGGTCACTGTGGGGACGACGTCATCGATGCACTTATTGATGAAGCCAGTGACTCAATGCCATCGGAAGAATCCCGGGAACATATTCCAGTCTGTGCTAGCAAAACAGTCCTGTAGCTTAGCGTCATCTGACCACTTATTTATTGACGAGTCACTGGTGCGTCCTGCTTTAGTTTTTGCTTCTAAGCAGGAATCAGGAGGATAGAATTATGGTCAGATTTGCCAAATGGAGGGCGAGGGGGAGCTTTGTACACATCTCTGTGTGTGGAATAAAGGTGGTCTAGAGTTTTTTCCCCGCTGGTCGCACATTTAACATGCTGGTAGAAATGAGGTAAAACGAATGTAAGTTTCCCTGCATTAAAGTCCCCAGCCACTAGGACCGCCGCCTCTGGATGAGCGTTTTCCTGTTTGCTTATGGCCTTATACAGCTCATTGAGTGTGGTCTTAGTGCCAGCATCGGTTTGTGGTGGTTAATAGACAACTACTAAAAATATAGATTAAAACTATCTTGGTAAATAGTGTGGTCTACAGCATATCATGAGATACTCTACTTCAGGTGAGCAAAACCTAGAGACTTCCTAAATATTAGATTTCGTGCACCAGCTGTTGTTTACAAATATACACAGAACGCCAACACTTGTCTTACCGGAAGCGGCTGTTCTATCTTGCTGCAGCGTAAACACTGCCAGCTGTATGTTATCCATGTCGTCGTTCAGCCACGACTCGGTAAAACATAAGATATTACAGTTTTTAATGTCCCGTTGGTAGGATATTTGTGATCGTAGCTCGTCTATTTTGTTATCCAATGACTGTACGTTGGCTAATAGGACTGATGGTAGAGGCAGATTACCCACTCGCCGTCGGATCCTTACAAGGCACCCTGACCTACGTCCTCGATATCTCTGTCTCTTTCTCCTGCGAATGACGGGGATTTGGGCCTTGTCGGGTATCTGCAGTAAATCCTTTGCGTCAGACTCTTTAAAGAAAAATCTTAATCCAGTACGAGGTGAGTAATCGCTGTCCTGATATCCAGAAGCTATTTTCGGTCATAAGAGATGGTGGCAGAAACATTATGTTCAAAATAAGTTACAAATAACGCGAAAAAACACACATAATAGCACAATTGGTTAGGAGCCCGTAAAACGGCAGCCATCTCCTCCGGCGCCATTATGATAGGTGGCGTTGTGTGGGCAAGCGATTTGCTGATGTCAACGTTGTGAACAGTGTCCCATGGTGGCGGTGGGGTTATAGTGTCCCATGGTGGCGGTGGGGTTATGGTATGGGCAGGCATAAGCTACGGACAATGAACACAATTGCATTTTATCTATGGCAATTTGAATTCACAGAGATACCGTGAGAAGATCCTGAGGCCCATTACCGCGCCATTCATCCGCCGCCATCACCTCATGTTTCAGCATGATAATGCACGGTAATGTACCAGTTCTTCCATGGCCTGCATACTCACCAGACATGTCACCTATTGAGCATGTTTGGGATTCTCTGAATCGAGGTGTACGACAGCGTGTTCCAGTTCCCGACAATATTCAGCAACTCCGCACAGCCATTGAAGAGGAGTGGGACAACATTCCACAATCCACAGCCTGATCAACTCTATGAGAAGGAGATGTGTCGCGCTGCATGAGGCAAATGGTGGTCACACCAGATACTGACTGGTTTTCTGATCCACGCCTCTACCTTTTTGTTAAAGGCATCTGTGATCAAGAGATGCATGTCTGCATTCCCAGTTATGTGAAATCCATATATTAGGGCCTAATGAATGTATTTCAATTGACTGATTTCCTTATATGAACTGTAACTCAGTAAAATCTTTGAAATGGTTGCATTTATATTTTTGTTCAGTGTAGTATGATACCTTACATAAAATGGAATGGCATGACAGTTTGTGCATGAGAAGCTATCCATCAATGTTTCTTAAAGGCTAAATTCTACCCTTGTTCGTTCTCACTGTCACATAGATCATCTCTTTGTCAACACCAGATTTTAGGATCAAATGATATCGTTTAATATGTTCAGGAAAACCCCACAGAAACAGTTGCGGGAAAAACGTACAGATTTACAATCATTCTTAACAGATGTGCCAGCATAACATCCTCATGACCAGTTAGCCCCCCCATAGTCTTTCACACAGCACTGGGAATAGAGGTACTAGTACTGATACCAATACCTGTTGTGTTGGTCTTGGTAACTCAAGTGTATAGCACAAAGTTGCTAAATGTAGCCAATGTTAGCACTAAGACCCTTGAGCTAGGCTTATTTCCTTCATTAGCCTAGCCCTAATGTTACAGTTAAGAGCATTCATATTTGGTGATTTTCCTTCATCACATCCAGGATATTAGCAAGCAGCTGGGTACAGCTTGCTGAGGTACTGCCAGCCTCTGAGACAAGAATATTCTTGTGAACATTTTCAGGTAGAAAACAAAAATGTAGAGTTTTTACACCCTTAAGGGTACACTACATTTAGATACAAGATTTGTCAAACTGCTCAATTGCATTTGGTTTAGCAGTTGTACAAAGAGAAATGCTAGAACTAGAGACAACAGACATGTAACATTTCAAGGAATAAAGTTTGAAGCTTCTGAATGTCCACCTTCGACCAGCCCAATGCAGCCTATCAAAACAACCATGTATTGAAATGCCCAGTTGAATAAATAGGTGATATAAGTTGAAAATGCAGGAGCAACTTTTACCATTAGGACAACATTTGCTTTCAATTCATTCAGTCAATAAAATGTCAAGTTTTTCAAAAAATGACCAAGAGGAATTCATGTAACATTTACAGTTTTTAAATTCGAAGCTAATTTTAACATTTGAATATTTCCCTATGGTTATTGGGTTGTGCTTCATGGTTTCTCTCTCTCTCGCAGGGAAAAGGTAGTGTTCGCTGGAGAACCATTAAAGATGTTGGTAATATAATAACAAAAAAAGAAAAAAAGCATGGTTTTCAAATAACACGAAGAACGTCCAATGGTGGAACATAATCTTTTTAATTTGCTTCAACCTGATACAGGTTACGATGCAGTGTTATCACAGGTGGGGCTAGGTAAGGTTTCAAAATGCACGTCCTATTTTACAATCTCAACACTGGTAGTACAAATAAAGCTCTATATCTACCAAGGAGAGAGAGGAGGACCGTTTACACCACTGCTCATTCTTTGCCTTGTGAAAACCATGCTTGGCGTGGGGAGGAGGGGAGAGGGGATCATGCATGACTGAGAGTGGGGTTGGGTGGGATGGCGCTCGAGGAGCCAGACCACTATTTCCACAGCAGGGGTGTTAAAGGCACGCCAGGGTTACTCCTAATCCCAGCTAGACACAGAGACGCCTTCACAACCACGCACACACATAATGCACGCACACACCTGACTGCAAACACACAGTACTCAAACAAGCAGCACAGGCTAGAGCCCCAGGAGTAAGGTTTGATACAGAAAAATTGGTTTTTGGAGAAAGACTGGGAGGGAGGAGTTATAGGGGGCAAGGGGCTTGGAACCGGTGCTGCCATCGTGTTAGACAGACGGAAAAAAACTAAAATGGTGGAACGGATCATTTCTGGTTCTTCAGCTGGTTGGAGAGCCAGTCGAGGCCCTCGTAGAGGCCGTCCCCGCTGGTAGCACAGGTAGCCTGGATGTACCAGCTGCGCTGGCGGAGGGCGTGGAGCCCCAGCTTGTCTGTGATCTCTGCAGCATTCATTGCATTGGGAAGGTCCTGAGAAACAACAGGGTTCAAATTATTTATCCTCTGTCTGTAATAACACTGTGCAATTAATAATATCCTACTCAAGCCCAGTGATAGTGTAAGGGATTGGCAATTCAAATAATGATTAAAGTATGCATGGTCAATGAGTATGGTCCACTCACATAATTGTTAGCAGGAGCAAAGTGCACTACAAGGAGTCAAGGCTTTCAGAATTCAGATACGAGTACCCAAGCTCACCTGTTTGTTTGCAAAAACGAGCAGCACGGCATCTCTCAGCTCGTCCTCTGCGAGCATTCTCTGCAACTCCTCCCTCGCCTCGTTCACTCGCTCCCTGTCGTTGCTGTCCACCACAAAGATAAGCCCTGCAAAGAGGTACACAGATGGCAATATGACACTGGTTCTCCGACAAGCAACCCTGGTTCTTGTAATGATAAGGCAATCTATGGACCACCATTGCAAACGATCATCAAAGCTCCATCTATTCTCGCTGTTTATTATCTATGCATAGTCACTTTACAAATTACCTCGACTAACCTGTACCCCCACACATTGACTCGGTACCGGTACCCCCTGTATATAGCCTCATTATTGTTATGTACTTTTCTTGTGTTCATTTTAGATTTTCTGGGGGGACTTTATTTATTTAGTAAATATTTTCTTAACTCTATTTATTGAACTGCATTGTTGGTTAAGGGCTTGTAAGTAAGCATTTCACGGTAAGGTCTACACCTGTTGTATTCGGCGCATGTGACAAATACAACTTGATTTGATTTTGATTTGAATCTTACCTTGAGTGTTCTGGAAGTAGTGGCGCCACAGCGGCCTGATTTTGTCTTGACCACCAACGTCCCACACTGTGAAGCTGATGTTCTTGTATTCTACCGTTTCAACATTAAAACCTGGACAAAGAACAACGAGTCAGAGAATGTTATAGAGGCACATATTCCATAAGTAGCCTAATGTGGTAGTGGACATTTTTTTGTGATAAGCTAATGCATTCAATAAAAATTGTCTTTACCAATTGTAGGAATGGTGGTAACAATCTCTCCTAGTTTGAGTTTGTACAGGATGGTTGTTTTTCCGGCAGCATCGAGTCCAACCATGAGAATCCTCATCTCCTTCTTGCCAAATAGGCCCTTGAAAAGGCTTCCAAACATATTCCCCATTGTGATTTATCTGAGAGAAAGAGGAATGCAAGGTGAAGAAAATCAGTAATGGTACACGTTTAGATTTATACAGGGTTCATGCACATTTTGACAGATGGAATTTCATGATTTTTAACCAAATTTCCATGACCAATAAAAAGTATGTGTAATGTGGTATTGACACTGGTAGGCCGCTCACTGATCCCATGTACCATCTACTGTCATTGTGCAAGGCACTTAAACCCCACAAAGCAGAATACCTGTTAGGCAACTCTATAAAACACATGTGGTCAACCCTCAGTCTGGAGAGCTACTGGGTGTGCAGGCTTTTGATCAAGCTTTGCTCAAACACAGAGACAGTTTATCAAGGTCCGGTTAAGCAGCTAATTTCTAAAAATAAAATAAAAAATAACCTTGATGTATAAAATTGCAACATTACAACCAAATACATTTTATGCCTTTTGAAATAATTAATTCATTTAATATATCAAAGATCAAATGGCTATGGTAGGATACAAACATTTTTATTCAGCTGAAGCAAGCCCACACATTTTCTTCAGGAAATGTACATTTTAGTTTAGTCATATTTTGCATGTTGACTAGCATCTATAGAGTTTAAGGCTGAACGATTTTGGAAAATAATCTAATTGCGATTTTTTGCCCCCAATATTGCGATTGCGATTTAATATGCGATTTAATTTATTTATCCTTTTTCCCCTACAAAACATAATGAATGATTTAAATATGACCAACACAATAGTATATACATTTAGTGTGAAATGTTCTTTCCCATAGGCTGGGTCTATTTGTTAGAATTAAATTCAAACATGTATGACTTGAAATAAATGACATTTTTATTGAACTGCTCATTACAGAAACATCTGTGGCTTTGCCACTGTGCATTTAAATAATTTAAACAAAGGCATGAACTTTGTAAACACTGTGTGCAAAAGGTACAGTCTTAAGAAAAAAATAATTTTAAATTGTATGTATCTTACTGCTCCCAAGTCAGTAACATTTCACACAACTGAAACAAGGAATTTGCTTTGAAAATATTTTGTAAAATCAAAGTAAATAAAGTTATAAATAAAAAATGAGAAATGCACTTTTAATTTAGACAAACTATTTTTTATAAACGATTTGAATATTATAATATAAAATAGATGAGCCTCACTTATCTCAAGTACACAACAATAACACACCACACAGACTAAAGTTCACTACGAGTATGGCACTGCCAGCCATACTTATCCAACAGTTCTGTTCTCAGTGGCTCACAGGTTTTTTGCTAAGAAAACCAGAATATTGACTTTTTCTGGCTTCAAGGATGAGCGAGTGCAAGTCACAATATTCCCTCCTGTGCTAAAAAGACGCTCTGAGGGAGCGCTTGTAGCAGGTACACAAAGATACTTGCGTGCCATGGTGCACAACTGTGGGTAGCTGATCTTGTGCACCCTCCACCAAGCCAATGGATCATCTTCTCCATCAATGGTAGGAGTCATCAGGTAATTGTTTATCTCTGCCTCTGCGACTGAGAGGCATCATATCTTTGGCTATGAACTCGGTTATTGTCCGAGTGATTTCTCCGTGCCGTTTTGAATTACGTTCATACGGAGTGACACTTTCGAACATTTCTGTCAGTGATCCCTGTCTTGAGGTATTTGGCTTGTCTCGCGCACTGATGCTCGGCATTTTGGTCATACAACTGTCATGCATTGATTTGTGGTATTTTTTTAAGTGCTGAAACAGGTTTGTAGTGTTACCCCGTGAAGTAGCAATCGGAGCACGGCATGCTCTGCACAACACCTGACGCTGCTCAGCATCTTCTTTTTTAAAACCAAAATAGTTCCACACCACCGACGTGCTGTTCCTCTTCGATATTAAAGTATCAGCTGTGTCAGTTTCTGACTGTTCCGTCGAGCAAGAGGCCATTGCGCTGGACAGCATGAAAAGTCGCGTCACGTGACCACCTCAAATCGCGCACGTTGCGATTAGAAAATCGCGTTCAGTCAAATCGCGATATTATCGCGAATGCAATTAATCGTTCAGCCCTAATAGAGTTGCAATGTCCCATACATTGGATGCCCAAATCAACTGGAAGTATCTACCAAAAGTTTTGAAGCCACATAATCCAAAAGAAAGTCTACATCTAATATTTGGTCCTAAAATTACAGTTCGCGATTCACAACTTATTATTTTGATTCACATTCGATTCATCGCGATTGAACCGAATCCCAACTAATACAATGGTAAAGTGAATCATTCGTTTCGTCAAAAATAATCGTTTAAATTAATGGCCTTATTCGCGAGTGTCGGGTGTTACATTTTGGGATACATGACATAATGAAAACATCAACACATGCTAATAAAAGCTAAACAGTTAACTACAGGGTACAATATATGTTTTGAATTGGCTACCTAGTTATTAGTCTGTTCTCTATCATATTTTATAGGCTATATATGGGCCTACCTGCTGCTGGAATGTCCGACTGTCTCTCTCTCTCCTTTGAGTAACGGCCCACTTGTCTCGCACAATTGCAGGTTATGCGGGCAAACACAGACGTGCAAAAGTGTCATTCCGATCCTGGCTGATATGTTGATTTTTATTTGATCGATACAATATTTAAAAACGGTGCTAAATAAATTACGTTAACAGACATTCGAATGAATTTCCATGACTTTTCCTAAACTTTCAGGATTGTATCATTATCCAAAACTTTTCCAGGCCGTACAAACCATGTTTCTAATGCTGGAATGGATTTAGCTAACTAGCTATGTAAATGTCAGGGGACAGATACGTTTGTAGGAATTAACTCCAAGCCACCAATATATTCCCAAACCCAACAGCCTACGTTAGCCTACTACTTTAGCTAGCTAGTTACCTAGCTGTATGGCTGTGGATGCCATTCAGTTCATTTAACACGTCAGAGCCGACTTCAAAAACGACAACAATGAACGGGATCCTGACGTCAGCTGACTCCCCACAGCTAGCTGCTTTGAGCCTGTCAGGTTTAAGAGTTCGGTAGCTGGAGTTCCGGGACAATAATCATCAACATAATATATTATTATTATTATTATTATTATTGATATAAGTCCTAGTTTCAATACACAGTGCAATTGTGAATTAATCTACGTTAAAGTTAACTAGGCCTTTCTTGACCGGTGCAAGGCTAACTAAGCCTGAATGTTTCCCATCAGGATCTACTAGAAACTATCATACAATTTCATGATTAAAATAAATATTTTTAAAAATAGTAACAGGCGTAACCGGTGGATAGAGAACTGGACGGCCGAAAACAATCTTCCAACTAACGTTAGCTAGGTTAAGCTAAAATAAAAAGCTCTAACTAGTTAGCTAGTTAGCTAGCTAGCTTAGCATGATGCTAAGCATCCGCCCATCTTCTTAGCTAGCTAGTTAGCGGACAACCATAACAACAAACTAGGGATCTCAGGCATTTCAAAACATTTACCGAACATATCGTTTTACACGCATTTGATACTCATCTTATGACAAAACTAGTCAGCCTGAAGGAAGAGGCTATGTTCGCTACTTAGCATCATTAGCTAGCCATGCCGCAACGTCAGATATAGATTAATTGTGACGTCATTTCAATAATCGAAAATGGGACGTTTTTGTCAGATTCTAGTTCACTCGAACATACATTATTGTATGTTAAACAAACGTGATGTATGATATATTCACCTTAGAAAGTCGGCTTCTCGATCTTTGCTTCTCTATCAGTCACTCCAAAATGGCGTTTTGCGCAACTCAGTAGACACCGGTGTGTGAGCAGGCACTTCCCACTGTTCATCTTATCCAATCATATCACCCATTGTATTTAAAGACCCTTCCTTTAATACCATGTCATCCAATCACGGGGCCGATATGATTTGTAGACAACGAGGAAGTGAACGTACACATTTTAGCCAACTACTTTTGAATCACATTATTAATGCAACGCAAGTTATCAATGCAAGTGGGAGATAATAGATTCGGATCAATGCAGTCAGTAGTAGAATATTCTGTGATTAAACTCAATGTGCACTGACTCTCCAGTGAGGTGATGTATCAGGGTGTCTTCTTTCCCAAGCCCACAGAGCTTGTTGACTGAATCTTTGTTTTAACACAAGCTTTTCAGAAGTATTCCAACTCAATAAACCAGATGTTGGTGGACTTGTTCATGTGATTAATTTATTCTCAACACGGTGGATTGTCTTTAAAAAACATGAATTGTAGGCCTATGCATCATCACACTGTGCCATTAAACCCCTTCAACTTATCCAGAACGCTGCAGCCCGTCTGGTGTTCAACCTTCCCAAGTTCTCTCATGTCACCCCGCTCCTCCGCACACTCCACTGGCTTCCAGTTGAGGCTCGCATCTACTACAAGACCATGGTGCTTGCCTACGGAGCTGTGAGGGGAACGGCACCTCCTTACCTTCAGGCTCTGATCAGACCCTACACCCAAACGAGGGCACTACGTTCATCCACCTCTGGCCTGCTAGCTCCCCTACCTCTACGGAAGCACAGTTCCCGCTCAGCCCAGTCAAAGCTATTCGCTGCTCTGGCACTCCAATGGTGGAACAAGCTCCCCCACGACGCCAGGACAGCGGAGTCACTGACCACCTTCCAGAGACACTTGAAACCCTACCTCTTTAAGGAATACCTGGAATAGTATAAAGTAATCCTTCTTCCCCCACCCCCCATAAAAAAAAAGGTGGTTGTCCCACTGGCTATCATAAGTTGAATGCACCAATTTGTAAGTCGCTCTGGATAAGAGCGTCTGCTAAATGATGTAAATGTCAAATAAAAGGCAGAATTGTTGAGAGACACAGCCCATCTATTCCAATGAGTAGCTAGAGACCTACTATTATAGGCTAATAATTACATTCAGAGAAAAATATCATCACAACGTGAAAATGTTGTGCCTGAGTCTCAATTTACAAAATAGCTGCATGTATACACCTTCAAAGTTGGCTCATTCCCGAATCTCAAGCTTTCCCTCTTTGATCCTCCAGCTCCATCGTGGACAGCAGTCTGGGGCAGGAATACAGCAAAGCCACAAGCCTGACTCCTGGATTTCCTGTTGGAAGGACACCGGCTTCCTGTCCAGAGTCTCCAGACTGAAGGCCTTCACTGTGATCTAAATGAGACACAGCACACTCTCATGTTATCTGTACATCAATTAGACAGGCTAATGGTATATTCAACCTTACTCAGATTTACAGTGATCTCTTACCTGCTCGCTTATCCCTATGGCAACATGACCCACTTTGACCTGACGCCGTTCACGGATCCTCAAACACTCACCACCAATGTTTTCAATCCATATCTCAATGCCTAGACCAGCAATGCACAGAGAACAGTGAGTTTATCAACAATCAGACCCTTCTCCCCTAATGGTTACAGGCAAGTCTACCCAGAGCATTTGTTCACCTTCAAAGCAGTAAGATGGTGGCTGGTTGGTGGATACCACCAGCCATTCCAAGTTGAAGCTCTGTCCATCTGTCTGGCTGTTGTAGGAGAAGACTCCAGAGCTGAGGTCATCAGACGAGCAATCAGAATCTTTGTCTGTGTCTGTATCATCCTTGTGGGATGAACCAGTGCTGCTCATACAGGACGGAGGGTGGTCCCTTGGCTCAGGGGAGGGGGTCTGAGCCAGAATGCCCACAGTAACACCTGGAGAGAGACAGATCGCCTTACTTTCCTGTCTCAAGAATATACACTGCATCCTTTAGATGTACATAAAGCCTGCAGCAGTAGCCGTTTAACTCACCATCTCTTAAGTATTCCAATTCAGGCTCTGACCCCCAGGATTGGTCAATCTCCGGCAGGCCTTTCCGCAGGACTGGGAAGTGGGTATGGAGAGCTTGGTAAAGTTCTGTGGAAGACTCCTCTTCCTCCCAATCGCCTTCATATTCACAGTCACCTTTCTTGAAGACACTACTTTTCTCCGGATCTCCATCCTCCCCCAAGTAAATATCCACCTCGGAATCTGTCTCATATTCCCAATCTTCCACCACATGGCTCTCCTCCAAGGAATGTTGATAATATTCCCAGTCCCTATCCTCCAGGGAGTATGTCACCGATTCAGAATTTCTCTCCAATTCCGATCCGCCCTCCTCAGAATCACTACTGTCCGCTTCAGCGGCCAACGCTCTCCAGGGGCTCACCCAATGCATTTTGGGTGCTGACTGTGTGGCTGCTGGCTTAGCAGGGGCAGAGGGAATGTAGGGTCTGTCATGATTCCCATCCTTGCTGTTCACCAGTTTCTGACAATCACCTTGACCAGAACTGTGACAAAGTCCTCCCACTGAAGAGAAAAAAGGTGCACTCTCATTATTCTAAAACATACACTTGCTCCATCTCACACACAAACACCAATGTACTGAGGGAACATCTTCACAACAATCACAGTGATTGAATTCCGGCCATGGATACGCACTTGTAAGGAGCTAATTCAAGTTTGTCAATTCATAGATAGATTACCTGCTCTCAGGGCCTTGGTGGTCATCTGCCTTAGCGCTCTGGCAGAGGCTCTACTGGCGGGATCCTTCTGTAGTCCAGCTCTCAAGACCTCGGCAGTGTAGGGGTTACAGCTGGGGGGCACCTCCCTCAGAGGAGGTGGCTCATTGACAATCTGACCAGTGAAAGGAAATCTTTTAAATCACATGTTTGCAGCAAGGACTTTTCTCTGATCCTGGATAACATGGGTTGTTTTTTACCTTGAAGCACAGCGGGTGGTTGTAGTAGCGGATCCAGGGGTGGCATCCATTAAGCATGTGCAGTAGCATGCAGCAGCTGCTCCACACGTCTGCCTTGGCACAGCGGAGGTCCCCTCGCGCCACCTCGGGCGCCATGTGGGTCTCTGTGCCAGCGGGCCACCCAGATACTGAAATGTCAGGAAATAGTTGTGTGGGCATCGTTTCGTTTTTGTTTATCTCATTGAATACTAACTCATAAAGATTTTTCATTGTATTCACACATATACACTGACGTCTAAAGGCTTTGGTGCTCTGTCCATTTGGGTCCAGCGTCTCAGAGAGACCAAAGTCACAGAGGAACGTGTCCCTCCCATCCTCAGACAGCAACACATTGTCAACTGCAACGAGAAAGGAAGAAAAAGGGTAAACAAAATGTACAAGTAGAAGACTAACTGAGGAATAAGGAGTTAGGGATGAATAGGGAACTGCTTCCTGGCAGACATAACAGTACTGTACATCCTGAAACTACAGGATGTGCTCTCTTATCTTCTGACACTAGAGGGAGTGCAACAACCACAAATAACTTTGCTCTACAAAGTCTCCATCTAGTAAACTACACTCAAATTTACCCAGTGGTGTAAAGTACTTAAGTAAAAATACTTTAAAGTACTACTTAAGTCGTTTTTTGTGGTATCTATACTTTACTTTACTATTTACATTTTTACTTCAATACATTCCTAAAGAATATAATGTACTTTTTACTCCATACATTTTTCCTGACACCCAAAAGTACTTTTGACAGGAAAATGGTCCAGTTCACACACTTATCAAGAGAACATCCCTGGTCATCCCTACTGCCTCTGATCTGGCAGACTCACTAAACACAAATACTTAGTTTGTAAATTATGTCTGAGTGTTGGAGTGTGCCCCTGGCTATCTGTCAATAAAAAATAAAATTGTGCTGTCTGGTTTGCTTAATATAAGGAATTTGAAATGGTTTATACTTTTACTTTTACTTTTGATACTTAAGTACATTTTAGCAATCCCATTGACTTTTGATACTTAAGTATATTTAAAACCAAATACTTTTAGACTTTTACTCAAGTAGTATTTTACTGTGTGACTTTCACTTTTACTTGAGTCATTTTCTATTAAGATATCTTTACTTTTACTAAAGTAAGACAATTTAGTACTTTTTCCACCACTGAATTTACCTATGCTATTCTTTCAGATTTTACACATGTCTATGGGTTGTTAACATGCCTTTAACATCCAGATGCAGGACGTGTCTGTGATGCAGGTGCTCCAGTGCTCCCAGGAGCTGACAGAGGTACCGCAAAGCCAGTTCCTCTGGTAAACTTCCCCTCTCCCTCAGTAGCTGGGCCAAACAACCTGTTTTCAGGTCCATGAAGAGTGTGACGTATGGACCCTCCCTCACAGCCCCAAAGAGCTTCACAACACCAGGGGAGTTCAGAGCACTCCACGTGCTCACCTCCTCACAGTTGAAATGACTCAGTGGGATCTGGAATGAGTAAAATACATTATTTTATGAGATTATGGACCATGTTTACTAGGAGCTTGCACCAAGTGAAAAGTTTGGGCCTATTTCTCTACAGAGGGAATTCAACTTTGAAGCTGCTGCATATAGTGAAAAGGATCATAAGACATCTCTGTTGTATTGGGGACATACTTTTTTTGCAGCACACTTGAACCCGGTACTTTTGTCCTGAACACTGAACACATCACCGTACGATCCATTCTGGATGTGGTATAGAATGTGATATTCCTTTCCCTCCCTGTACTCAAACTTATTGGGCTGGAGTTGCTGAAAGATACACAGTACACATAAATGCACATTCTGGTTATTCATGCATTCTTTATAAAACAAGGATACTGAATATTGATGAGGAAATAAATGAAGAGTACTCCTACCTTGTGGAATATGAGGCCTTCGTTGATCTGTGCAGTGAACTCTTTCATCTCATCCGAGACATCTTTGACCAATGCTTTGAAAAAAGGTGAGACGAATCGCTGATGCTTCTGGGTAACTCTGCTGCGCAGTTCCTCAAACATTGTCTCAGAGTCAGACACTCCCCCAACGCTACACAACGATCCAGACACACCCCCTGGTATGTTAGACACACCCACCAGATTGCAGAAGGAGTTGGACGCACCCTCCACACTGGAGGAGGATCCGGACTCCCATCCCCGGCTGCAGGTGGAGTCCGAGTCAGACACGCCCATCAGATTGCAAGATGAGTTAGAGTCGGACGCGCCCTCTGGTGCCAGGAAGTTGTCCGACACACACATCACACTGGAGAGACAGTCCGACACGTCCACCAGGCTGCAGACTGAGTCCGACAGACCCCCATCCCCAAAACTACATGAGGAGTCCGACTCGCTCTCATGAGTACGAATGGATTCAGAATCAGATATACTCTTCAGACTGCATGGAGACTCAGACATTCCTCCTGATTCACTAGAAGAGTCGGACACACCCATGAGTTCGTAGATGTCTGACAGGCCATCTGCACATTTTGACACACCTTCCAAGCTGCAGTGGAATACAAGTTCAAAAACAGTGTCCAAACTGCAACCTCCGCGTCTATGAGGTACCCAGATAGAGTCTGTGTGTTTGGGGAGGTCCACAGGAAGCTGGTTTACCTCAGAGGCCCAGCTCATGTCCTTGTTGGTTGATTTGGACCAGTCGATCTCCTGCACCCATAAACCTTGGATGACTGGTGGCTCTTGTTCTTCCTCCCTCTGTCTTCCTTCCTGAGGCTTTCGCCGAAGCTTCCTTCTAATGTGGTGGTGTGGCACTGTGCGTGTTGTACCCACATAGTTCTCTTTGTCTGTATCACTCTCGGTTGTAGCTTTCTTGGCTATGGACCTGCAAATTAAGTGACATTGATTGAGTTGACGAGACTTCTAGGGGAGTCTGTGGGCATGTAACCCCTGAACAATATTTTTGGGGGAATTGAACAGCTAATTGTAATGAGCCTAAAATGTACTAACTTTATTACGAACAATTTCTTGTGCACTTCTTAAGGATACAGTGCAAACTCCATCTAACGGCAGTACAGTTTTCTAGTCCCAATTCAATTTCAAACATGAGATTAAAGATCGTTATGCTCTGGTAAGTACCTGTGGCTTTTGAGCAGGTGAGATCTGGAGTAGACACATGCTGTGCTCGTAGGGCTGAACTCTTGGGAGCCTTCACCTGGGACACACAGATTTACTCTGGATCAAACACGGCTCACTAAATAAAATGGACTTGTTGTTCCCCTCCTTTCTGCTCTAAAGAATAGAGCATAAAAGGCCAGAAGAGAGGGAACAACTTTCTAGAATGTAACCCCTATCCCTCCTCCTGGTTGCATGCAGATACAAAACTCTTTCAGTGGTACTTAGCCATTTAGCAGTATACCACCCTACATCCCACTGCTGGCTTGCTTCAGAAGCTAAGCAGGGTTGGTCCCTGGATAGGAGATCAGATGCTGATGGAAGTGGTGTTGGAGGGCCAGTAGGAAGCACTCTTTCCTCTGGTCTAAAACAAATATCCCAATGCCCCAGGGCAGTGATTGGGGACATTGCCCTGTGTAGGATGCCCTCTTTCGGATGGGACGTTAAACGGCTGTCCTGACTCTCTGTGGTCACTAAAAGATCCCATGGCACTTATCGTAAGAGTAGGGGTGTTAACCCCGGTGTCCTGGCTAAATTCAAAATATGGCCTTCATACCGTCATGGTGACCTAATCATCCCCAGCTTACAATTGGCTCATTCATCCCCCCTCCTCTCCCCTGTATCTATTCCCCAAGTTGTTGCTGTAAATGAGAATGTGTTCTCAGTCAACTTACCTGGTAAAATAAGGGTAAACTAAAACAAATAAGTACAAAACATTTACTACTGTGTAACTACTATGCACTTTGGAAAGGAAGAGTTCTCCATTAGTTACTGGCTTACCCTCTGCCTGGGCGATGATTGAGACACATGGGACTTGGTCGCTGTCACCATGCCCCCCTGTGCCCACCTGCTTGGCAGTGCCCTGCTCCATCACCAGGCTCAGGCTAGGAAGGACGGTCTGCACCAACGGGTCCTTGTTCTCTTCACCCTCCATTATGTTCTCCTCCCCCAAAGAGAACAACAGTGACACCCCCTTCACTTCGAACATCTTGGGTATGGCCATTCCTCTTGGCACCCTTAGAGAAACTGAGATAAAATCAAAGATAAAAAGTAAAATGAGTGCTAACATGCTACTGGAGAGAAATGGGGGAAGTTTACTTTCGGAATAGTGAGAATGGTGACAAACCCTCTCCTCGAGGTCTTCTTCAAGGAGATCTGTGTGCCAATAAGCACTGTTGCTCAAAAGCTAAGGCTATGTGGTAGTTAGTAGTAGGATTTTATTTGAAGAGCTCTAGGAAATGTAAAGGGATACCAAACACAGAACAATAAATATTACGTAAATTCACCAAATTGTCTTATAATACCTGGCAAAATAATTCTCACCATGTCATAAGACAGTTTGTGACCCCAAAGGGAGTGAAAATATAGGGCTTATTCATTGTGTGGATATGCTGACGTTAGCTATGCATTTGGCAGGTATTTTAATGTGATGGCATTTGCCATGGTCGGTGTGAATTAACTGACTCGGCTAGTGATCCAGACGAGCGTGTATAAATAGCATGCAGAGATTCGGCATTCTCTGAACTTGTTACATGCCTTCCACTGGGCTGCTCAGCTGTCAAAGTCTCTCTTAGTGCCCGCCATATTGACAGGGAAGGCCGGGGATCAAAACAATCCTTTCTCAACTCACACACAGACAATGCTACACAGGTTATCTGTGTCCTTGTACTAACTTAGCCACTAACTTAACTTAGTTCAAGGGTTTCCTATGTTTCTTAGTCCCTTTTTTTGAAAAATTACATCATTGTTCATTATTATGTGTATGTGTGGTTCCACTGCAAAGTTGTAGGAATTTTAGATCGCAATCCTGATTCTTGTACATGCATCACTGTAAAGTTCCCATTCCCTGTGAAGTTGGCATTCAACTAACACCCTCAACCCTCAAATCTTACTGTGTGAGAACCTTTATATCTAAGTCTTCTGTACACCTAAGGGAAAAGAATGGCCCATCTCTCCCATTACTTCCTGTTATCTTCATTGTCTGCCAACACCAACACCCACATCCCCTTCCTAGCCCTAGTAGCAATAAAACCATTAATACCAAGAAAATACATTGGTTTGAATGACAATAAAAAATCAAGAGGTAGTAATCCAACATACCGTAAAGGCGAAACAGTTGCTCCTTTTCTGTGAGAAGTTATCTTTGTATTAGTAGTAGTAGAGACAGACAGAGTACTTCGGCCAGTTGGACTAAGCTACTTGCTTCTGTTCTGTGAATGTGTGTGGGTGTCTGTGTATGTCTGTATGTGCTGTCTCCAAGTGTAACCCACCGGCTTTCTGCTGACAGGCCGTGCTGATTGGTGGGCCATATGTGAGAGTTATGAGACAGCTTTCTCCCCCGACCCCCGGCACATATTACTGTTACTGTATCTAGACTCGAGTACTGTCTCGAGTCTATCTAGCAGTTTTACTATTAGAATATTTTTATTTTTAATGTGTCTTTTGACTAACGATGTAGTCATTGTTCATTAAATAAACCAACACATACATCCGCCTCCCCACATGGAACTGTCCTCCCAATCTCTGTCCTCATCTCATTCTTTTGTACAATCACCTTCAAAGATACGTTCAAGTTTGTATTGATAACTATGGCAGTCATAGAGAATGAAATACATAGGTTTAACATGGATATAACATCGATAAATAAGTGTGTAACTCAATGAAGGTAGAATAGCAGTATTGAGACTGATTGACAAAAAAGTGCAATTTAATAGTCCACTAACAGTTTTAATCAAAGTGACACTGATAAAAGTTATGGTAGAGTCAAGTCAAACTTTTCATACAAGTATGGTCGTTGGCACTGGTTCAATAATACTTCCCATCCCATCCAACACCCGTGTGCTACCCTGCCCCAAATTCTGATCCCCAGAATTCGCACATTCCCATGGGAATTAGCAACATGCCAGAGGAGGGGGTGTCAGCAAAAAACACATACTACCCATGAGACATTTTCCCTGGCAACATCTGAATGGTGAAGGGACAAACCAATGGAGAGGCACTCAGCAGGAACACACATAAGCAGGTCAGCGAGTTTCATCCGTGTACTGGTCGAGTGCCCTGGGATCTAGCTATACATAGACTTGGAAAAGGTCCATTGTCATAAGTCCGTCTCAGTGGCGGTCAAATTAAATTCTGTTTCTAACCATTCATGATAAAGTGGTACAGTTATCTAATTACGGTACGGTACAAGTTGAAATGACTGGAAACCTTGGACTGTGGCTCTTTACAATCGTGTCCATTTGGCAAAATACAACAAAGGGTTGTAAAAGCCAAAGGGGCCATGGGCCAGAGCATTATAGTGCAGACGTGCCTCATTGGAGTTAAAACTCATTCTCTCTACCCTTGTCCTCCACTGAGGCTGATTAGTCTATGGCTCTTAGCAGCCAGCAGAGAGCACCAGAGCCAAGCCTGGCTGTGTCCACTGGTAACTGGGACACATCTCACCAGCTGTGATATGCCAGGGCAGGGTCAAGGATTCTGTTACTCTTCATGCCTCTGCTTGCTACTCACACCTCTTGTTTTCATTGGTCGTCATAACAACTTCTGAGGGGGAAAGGGGCTAAGGGGGAAAGCAAATAAGCCCAATGCGTTTCTATGGGCTTATTTTGGACCTAAGCTTGTTGCTGGCCTTTCCGCCTTTGGGACGACTCCCATTGTTAGAGCGGAGACATGAGTATCTCGTCATTATATACAGATCTCTATGTAAAGGGAGAGGGGAGAAGTGGATAGGATTTGAGGTGTCCTTTCCTTGGGAATCTCCATGACCATCCCCTCCAAGGTTCAGGCAAAAATATGACTCATACATTGCTTATTATTGTGCTTATTATTGGGGCGGCAGGTAGCCTAGCGGTTAAGAGCATTGGGCCAGTAGCGAAAGGTCGATGTTTCGAATCCCTGAGCTGATAGGTGAAAAATCTGTCGATGTGCCCTTGAGCAAGGCACTTAAGCGTAACTGCTCCTGTAAGTCGCTCTAGATAATATTGTCTGTTAAATGACTAAAATGTAATTGTCCTACAGTACAGCTCAGGAAATTATATGGCTCATGTCTAAATTCATACACACAAATGTAAAGTATGTCAGATAATCCATTTGCACATGATTGACTGGAAAAGGACTAATCCCCCATGGAATCATATACAGTACATAATCACAATGCCACGAACACACCCAAAATGGTTGTTTTATGACAAAAACTTTGAAATATTTTAAACAATTTTATTTCACCTCAGTTGGCATACACTTATCACTGACACAAATTCACCCTCTCTTCAATGAGATAAAATATTTTAAAAGGAAACTAGAATTAACAGAGAAACGTGCCCTTCCTTTATTAATAACATCACATTTATTAAAATAAATAATGTCAAATCCAAAACAAAAAGCTATAATTGAGTACAGCTACAAATTTGGGACGTTAGTCGGTAGTTATGATACGCTAACTGGTATTGTGTATGCATTGATTTTCAAAGTTGTATTGTTGCTTAGTATTACTAGGGCTGGTAGAACACAGTGTTTGGTGTCCATTTTGATATCAACCAATCAAATCAAATTTTATTTGTCACATGCGCTGAATACAACAGGTGTAGACCTTACAGTGAAATGCTTACTTACAAGCCCTTAATCATACATCATTCCTATGAACTAGATTGAGTTCCCTATCTCTTTTGTAAAAGCACCACAAATTGCATGTAGAAACCATTTAACTGGGGTTTCCAAGTAATTCCTATACTGAAAACCAAAAAGGCACAACCATAGAATTAGGAATTAGAATAATTTAATAGGATCTCTATGGGCACAATCCTTTATTTAAAACAAAGTTATTTATGATAATTTGTATTGATCATAATAGTGATCAAAAATGAGTATTATGAAATCAAGATAAAATGACTGATTAAAAGGTTTTGCTTTAAATACATTGTATGCAACTGATTGTAATGTATTCCAACTATACGATTATAAAGATGTATATAGATCCATGGAAATTACACATTTAAGAAAATGGCTATGACTTGACGGGTTTGAGTGACAGCATTCACATTTTAATGACAGAACTGTCTGAGGTTGAGACCATCCATCTCGATCCTCACTTCACAGAAAATAAAGAACCAGCAGCCAAAACACAAATAAAATCGAACAAAATGTTAAATCACTTTAACACTGTCGGCTGATCAATGGCTACGTAGTGCTTCCAGCTAGAACAATACACTAACGGTCACTTACTAATGCTAGGTTGTGCCCTACATCAACAAAACATGAAAATCAGCTTTCTTATAGGATGTAGCTGCGTTCTTGAAAATAGTTTTGTATACAAATGCAGGCTTATTCTGGAGAGTGAGAGTTCCAACAAGAGACTATAATACATTAATGTTTCTCATTTGCATAGAGAAAATGGCATGATATGGGGCAGAAGTAACTAAACGTAAATCTAAAAGACATTAAGAGGGACAAACGGACAAGCTAGCTGCATAAAAAAAAAAGAAACCGCTCTAGATGGGCGTTTGGTGTAGATGCTGAATTCTCGACTTCCAACCATTTCCATTTCCTGGTTCTACCCCAATTGAAAACCAAATACATTCACTTCAAAAAAAAGAAAGATAGATAGAAAATACAAAATATTCAGTCCCTTGTCCATAAGGTTGTGTTCCTCTTATGGCATGTTCTGCAGGTTAGTTAGTGCTGGAGGGAGGAACATTAGATCAGTGCTGCTTCCTGACTGGCTCAAAGTCCAAAAGGAACAAAGTCTCTCTTTTTGTTGTGGGTGAAGAAAATGTCCCAGGTCAACTCCGCCTGCTGGGAGCAGCCTCCCTTCCCTAGGTTACATGTGTATCCCATGGGGCAGCAGTGCTTGGCATCACTGCAGCATACTGCCTGTGAAGAGAAAGCGAGTTTAAAAGGAGTATTTCAAGGTTTTTCAACTTGATGTTAGATGGTTCCTCACCCTGAAAGTAGTCTATGGGTCAGGAGAAACTGTGGTTCGGTTTTCTTTAAACAGCCACCACAAACATCAGCAAACATTAGCCACCACAAGCTAACAATCAATAGAAGTGATGGGGGCATGTAATTTACCACCCACAAACATTGGAACCTATGTGCGGCAGACTGATCACTTGAATTGCCGGGCATGTTAACATCTAAATGCGCAGAATATTGTATAAAAAGTTGAATGTTACTTATGGTCAAAAGTCAGTTACATATGTCAAGTTAAATATTCAAAGAATTTTCATTCCAAGTAGCTGTTTCGCTACCTTTGGTGCAGGGCAGCAGGACCATTCTGTGGGTGAGGTCTTGCAGCATGTCTGCAGTTTGGGACAGCTGTACTCTTCAGTGCCATCACACTTCACATCTACCCCCATCTCCGCTGCTCTCTGCTGGGACTCTTCCACCTTCGTCAGGGGCATTGTATGGGGGAGCACACCCTCTACCGGTTTCTCACAGGTCCCAGTCTGCATGTTGCAGCTGTAGCCCTGTGGGCAGCAGTGCTCTTGGTCTGTACAGCAAACAGCCTGCGGATAGAGGGAAATAAGGAGAGAGAGAGAAAAGGAAAGTGTCCCAATCAAATACAAATATAAGTGTGTGTGTACTATACAGTGCCTTCGGAAAGTATTAAGACCTCTCGACTTTTTCCACGTTTTGTTACGTTTCAGCCTTATTCTAAAATTGATTAAATAAAACAATTTCCTCAGCAATCTACACACAATACCCCATAATGACGAAGCAAAAACAGGTTTGTAGAATTTTTTTGAACATTTATTAAAAAATCTAAAAACCTTATTTACATAAGTATTCAGACCCTTTGCGATGAGACTCGAAATTGAGCTCAGGTGCATCCTGTTTCTGTTGATCATCCTTGAGATGTTTCTACAACTTGAATGGAGTCCACCTATGGTCAATTCAATTGATAGGACATGATTTGGGAAGCCACACACCTGTCTATAAAAAGGTCCCACAGTTGACAGTGCATGTCAGAGCAAAAACCAAGCCATGAGATCGAAGGAATTGTCCGTAGAGCTCCGAGACAGGATTGTGTCGAGGCACAGATCTGGGGAAGGGTGCCAAAACATTTCTGCAGCATTGAAGGTCCCCAAGAACACAGTGGCCTCCATCATTCTTCAACGGAAGAAGTTTGGAACCACCAATACTCTTCCTAGCGCTGGCCGCCCGGACAAACTGAGCAATCGGGGGAGAAGGGCCTTGGTCAGAGAGGTGACCAAGAACCCGATGGTCATTCTGACAGAGCTCTAGAGTTCCTCTGTGGAGATGGGAGAACCTTCCAGAAGGACAAGCACTCCACCAATTAGGTCTTTATGGTAGAGTGGCCAGACGGAAGCCACTCCTCAGTAAAAAGGCACATGACAGTCCGCTTGGAGTTTGCCAAAAGGCACTTAAAGACTCTCAGACCATGAGAAACAAGATTCTCTGGTGTGATGAAACCAAGATTGAACTCTTTGGCCTGAATGCCAAGTGTCACATCTGGAGGAAACCTGGCACCATCCCTACGGTGAAGCATGGTGGTGGCAGCATCATGCTGTGGGGATGTTTTTCAGCAGCAGGGACTGGGAGACTAGTCAGGATCGAGGCGAAGATGAACGGAGCAAAGTACAGAGAGATCCTTGATGAAAACCTGCTCCAGAGCACTCAGGACCATAGACTGAGGCAAAGGTTCACCTTCCAACAGGACAACGACTCTAAGCACACAGCCAAGACAACGCAGGAGTGGCTTCGGGACAAGTCTCTGAATGTCCTTGAGTGGCCCAGCCAGAGCCCGGACTTGAATCCGATCTAACATCTCGGGAGAGACCTGAAAATAGCTGTGCAGCAACGCTCCCCATTCAACTTGACAGAGCTTGAGAGGATCTGCAGAGAAGAATGGGAATGTATAAATCCAATCCATTATCACAGAAAGTCAATGGAGACGCACCTTGACCAGAGGACAGCAGCCCCATTCTCCCGTGGGCAGCTTGCAGCAGGTGGTCCCCGAGGCGCAGCTGCTCTTGTCGTCACACTTCACGTCTTTCAACATGGCTCCCTCAGTCAGGGCCTTCTCCTTGCGGTACCAAGGGATGGTCAGGCGGCCCTTAGAGCAGGAGGTCTTGTGGTTATCACAGCTGTAGCCGCTGGGGCAGCAGTGGTCTCCGTCGGCACAGCACACTGCCTGGGGAGGAGAAGAACATTACAGTGAGGTCATACAGAGATTACTACTGTATAATCACCATGTCATTTCAGGCAGCTTTATGCTCCACAAGGAGCATAGAGAAGTAAGTAACCAAGACTATTATTTTCATAATTTCAACTAAGTGGTAATTTTATGCTATGTAAAATGGTGCTAACTTCCCATTACTGTGTTAATCATAAATAAGAATATTTTGAAAGGTTGCCACAGCTAAAGGCTCCATAGTAACCTCCTTACCTTTGGCAGGGGGCAGCACCCCCATTTGCCAGCCTTTTTCATGAAGCAGCAGGTGGTATCTTTGGGGCAGCTAGTGTGGGGGTCACACATGTTCTTGGCTGGGGGGACGGAGGGGGTACTGGCCTGGGGAAGCCCCCTATGCAGGGGCAGGGCTCGCAGCTTGGGGACCCAGGGCAGGCTGAGGAGCCCGGGCTTGTCACAGGTCTGTTCGGCCACATTACACGTGTAGCCTTTAGGGCAGCAGTGCTCATGGTCGTCGCAGCACACCACCTAAGGGGCAACAATAACATTATTTTAAAGCATAACTTCCAGTTAAGAGCCCTTGTTCTGTAATCACAACAAATCTGGGCCGGTATTGATAAAGAGTAGTCGTGCTGAGACACTTTATGAATATTGGCCCTGATCTACAGTATCTGGTGTCTTAAAGTGAGAAAACAGAAGATATGACAGCTTAGGAAACTTCTGTAACACACATCCAGGGCCCGGAGTCAAGTCTAAAACAATATTATGCACAACTCTTCAATTCATCTCAGTCTCTATGAAGGGAGTCATTGAATGGGAGCGAGTTAACTCACATGAGGTAGAGGACAGCATGCCGACTGTCCTGAGTTCTGCCTGCAGCAGGTGGTGCCCCCGGGGCACATGGTCTGTTCGTCACACTTCTCAGTGGCCAGTGGTGCCTGGGTGGCGAGGGCTGGCACCTTGGTGACCCACGGCATGGTGAAGCCTGAGGGATCATCACAGGTACTGGCCTCCAGGTTACACACGTTGCCGTGGGGGCAGCAGTGGAGGTGGTCGTTGCAACACACCGCCTGAAGGGCAGAGAACCCATGGGCTTGTTATTATTGAGATAAGTTAGGCTACCTTTAGGTTAGAAACGTGATGCTTATTTGACTCAGATTTAATTCAATGACTGACAGAGATGACTGGAATAAAGGACAATTCATAACATTATCAAATTAGGACCACTTATTACTTTAATCTGTACAGGGACAGTTGTGATTTCCAATTAGAGTCAATTCAATTTCATGTCTAGTTACTTCAAGAATATAATTTAATATCGACGTCATTCAATCAGATTCAACCTGAGGTAAAGTTGCCTAAAGGTTAGACCCTTAACAAGGACTTAGCAAAGAATAAGTCAGTGGGGGTATATGTGGAAATGGCCGTACATTGGGCAAGGGGCAGCAGGCCCAGTTTCCTGTGGTGGTCTTGCAGCATGTGGATTTGCCCGGGCACGACGTGGATTCTTCACATTTGCTGTTGGGCAGCGGCTCCTTCTCCGACACATAGCTGAAGGCAGGCACCTTGTCCAGCATGGGAACCAGGGCAGAGCCCGAGGAGGGGTCATCACACGTACTCTCTACCAAGTTACAGATGGTCCCATGGGGGCAGCAGTGGAGATGGTCATCACAACACATAGCCTATGGGAAGCTCAAAGGAATCAGTGTGGGGTTTGTTGGTTCAGAAGGAGTTCACAGTTTATATAGTGTTTCTGTTTGCATATCTTGAATGCTACAAGACAAATTTAACACCACTGACTGTAAAATAATGGCAACACTTGCAACATGAATAAGATTTATAAGTAAGATTTAATAAATCAGGTGAGTCTCAAGGGCTGAGCTCTACTGTCAAGTGTGACAAGAATTATGGCTGACACACACACACTCACACAGGGGTTCACAGTACCTTGGGCAGGGGGCAGCAGAGCCATTCTCCAGCTAGTGATTTACAGCACGTGCTCCCATCAGCACAGGCCACAGAGTCGTTGCAGGGCACAGCATTGACTAGAGGACACAGACCACACAGACCTTCACATGTTAACGTATGGACATGACACCTCTGGCGAGATGCAGAATAGCTACAGATCTGGCCAAATATAAACTTTCATTCCTTGGTCACTATGCAGCTGTCTATCTTGAATAGCCCGACTTGGATAGTCGGTTGCAAATTGATGTTAACATCATGCGCTAATGTTTGATGTAGAACTTTGTCTCGGACCTCTGCTCTGTAGGGATGTGGTGGTCAATGTGGCGGGGAATTTGACAGCCATGGGGGTTTGGCCATGTTTAGACACACAGGTGCCCTGTTCCAGGTCACAGGTAGTGCCCTGTGGACAGCAGTGGAGGTCATCCGAACAACACACAGCCTGCGGAGAGCAACAGAGGGGTCTTGATAAATAAAAATACATACTTGTACTCCGTCACAGAGACAGAGACAGAGACAGATCTGGCCAAACTAAAATAATTCCTCTTCATCCAGCTGAATTCTACAGGAGCTGACACATTTCCTGGCAGCTGATTATAGATGTGTGGTGAGTCATTGGGCTCAGAGCAGAGTACTTACACTGGGCATAGGGCAGCAGCCATAGCTCCCATCCACCAGCAGGCAGCAAGTGGTGAGTTCAGGACACGATGACAACCTGTCTGGACAATCCACTAAAAGAAAGATGCACATTAAAAAAATATATTGTATACCAACAGAAACTCACAAAATAATTGTGTTATACTTTTCTTACAAGAGCACAGAATTAAAAAAGGACCACATAACCACTAATTTCACTGGAAAATTACACGCTTACACTACAAATTCAATTAGTAACATCCCAGTAGCCAGCGATTAGGGTGAGAAGTGGTTGGTGCCTCACCATCGTTGGGGATGGCAGGGATCTTCTTGGCCAATGGAGTCTGTGTATCGGGGGAAGTGCACATCTCATGCTCCAGGTTACAGGTTGAGTTGCCAGGGCAACAGTGGAGTTTGTCGGTACAGCACACAGCCTGTACAGAACACATGATTTAAAACATAGTTCATCAGTTTTGAAATGTTCCATCTCTACATCTCCCTTTAGCTACACTTTCCTCACGTTGAAACACTTTCTTAGACATGTGACTAACAGTTATTACACATCCGCCTGTGTGCAACACACATTGTGCAACACACAGCTGAACAAAATGGCTTAAGATTGTGTGACCCAGGATCTACTCTAATGACCCAGCACCAGCTCCACTCACCTCAGGGTAGGGGCAGCAGCCAAAGTCTCCACTGGCCAGCAGGCAACAGGTGGTTCCGTCTGGGCACGTGCTCTTACCACTTGGGCAGGTCACTGCTTGTCCAACTACAGCTACTGAGACACCAGGAAGAGAACTGTGTTGTGTTCATTAGGCACCAAACCGAAGAAAGCAGACTGAAAAAGGAAGTGACTGGACTATTCCAATAAAAAAATAGCTTTCCGTTAATTTTGTGCCCTAACGAACATAACCCTGGAACATAATTCAACAGCAACTTCATGATAATCTTGTCATTTATTTCTGTCTGTCCCTTCAGTACCTGTCTGCCTCTTCCTTGCAGGCACTTTCTCCTTCATGAGGAACGTGTCCAGGGTGGGTGACACACACTTGGAGTGGGCTAGGTCACATTTGGTGCCCTCTGGACAGCAGTGCATCTTGTCCTCACAGCACACTGCCTTGAGAGAGAAGAGAAGACAAGGTTTAGAACGCGCTCAGGCGGGAAGACCAGGTCTAGAACGCGTTCAGGCGGGAAGACCAGGTCTAGAACGCGCTCAGGCGGGAAGACCAGGTTTAGAATGCGTTCAGGCGGGAAGACCAGGTTTAGAATGCGTTCAGGCGGGAAGACCAGGTTTAGAACGCGTTCAGGCTGGAAGACCAGGTATCTCCCAAGATAATTTTCTACGGTTATAGTCACGGCCGTGTATATCCCCCCTCAAACCGATACCAGGACGGCCCTCAAAGAACTTCACTGGACTTTATGCAAACTGGAAACCACATATCCTGAGGCTGCATTTATTGTAGCCGGGGATTTTAACAAAGCAAATTTGAGGACTAGGCTGCCGAAGTTCTATCAACATATCGACTGTTGTACTCGCGCTGCTAAAATCCTTGACCATTGCTATTCGAACTTCCGGGATGGTTATAAGGCCCTCCCCCGCCCTCGCCCTCCTTTCAGCAAATCTGACCACGACTCCATTTTGCTCCTCCCTTCCTATAGGCAGAAACTAAAACAGGAAGTACCCGTACTAAGGACTATTAAACGCTGGTCTGACCAATCGGGAAACCACACTTCAAGATTGTTTTGATCACGTGGACTGGGATATGTTCCGGGTAGCTTGCGAAAATAATTTAGATGAATACACTGAAACGGTGACTGAGTTTATCAGGAAGTGTATAGGTGATGTTGTGCCAACTGTGACTATTAAAACCTACCCTATCCAGAAACCGTGGATAGATGGCAGCATTCACGCAAAACTGAAAGCGCAAACCACCGCATTTAACCATGGCAAGGTGACTGGGAATATGGCAGAATACAAACAGTGTAGCTACTCATTCCGCAAGGCAATTAAACTGGCAAACAGTATAGAGACAAAGTGGAGTTGCAATTTAACAGCTCAGACACGAGACATATGTGGCACGGTCTACAGACAATCACAGACTACAAAAGGAAAACCAGCCACGACACCGACGTCTCGGTTCCAGACAAGCTAAACACCTTCTTCGCCCGCTTTGAGGATAACACAGTGCCACCGACGAGGCCCACTACCAAGGACTGTGGCCTCTCCTTCTCCATGGCCGACGTGAGTAAGACATTTAAGCATGTTAACCCCCGCAAGGCTGCCGGCCCAGACGGCATCCTTAGCCGCGTCCTCAGAGCATGCGCAGACCAGCTGGCTGGTGTGTTTACGAACATATTCAATCTCTCCCTTTCCCAGTCTGCTGTTCCCACATGCTTCAAGATGGCCACCATTGTTCCTGTACCCAAGAATGCAAAAGGTAACTGAACTAAATGACTATCGCCCCGTAGCACTCACCTCTGTCATCATGGAAGACCAGGTTTAGAATGGGTTCAGGCGGGAAGACCAGGTTTAGAATGCGTTCAGGCGGGAAGACCAGGTTTAGAATGCGTTCAGGCGGGGAGACAAGGTTTAGAATGCGTTCAGGTGGGAAGAAAAGGTTTAGAATGCGTTCAGATGGGAAGACCAGGTTTAGACTGCGTTCAGGTGGGCATTCGCACTTCAGCAGACAAAGGAAAGGAGCTCAACAACAATGACAAAAATAAGGGCTTGCCTTCACATCAAATGACTTCCAATACGTGGGCAGTTTCCACTAACACATTCGGGGTACAACGATGGGAGCTGCATTCGTGTCTAACTATGCGAATTTATGGTACACTGGAAGGAGACCTTCATTTGACCCGTATTTCCAGAATGTCGCCCTTTGGAAAAGATACATAGACGACATCCTACTGGTATGGAACGGTAGTGATGCTCTCCTCTCTGAGTTAATTTCTTATATTCACTTATCTGACCCCAATCTCAAATTTACAGCAGAGAGAAGAAGTCGGGAGAAAATAGACTTCTTGGATCTTACAATCCACAAAAATGAAGAAAACAAGTTGGAGTCTAACATCTTCCGCAAGGCGCAGAGTAGGAATACACTTTTACATGCAGATAGTAACCATCCGGTACACCTTAAGCGGAACATACCGGTGGGTCAATTCCTAAAACTCAGACATAACTGTAGTAAAGACATACACTACCGGTCAAAAGTTTTAGAACACCTACTCATTCAAGAGTTTCTTTAAATTTTACTATTTTCTACATTGTAGAATAATAGTTAAGACATCAAAACTATGAAATAACACATATGGAATCATGCTGTAACCAGAAATGTGATAAACAAATCAAAATATATTTTATATTTGAGATTCTTCAAATAGCCACCCTTTGCCTTGACGACAGCTTTGCACACTCTTGGCATTCTCTCAACCAGCTTCACCTGGAATGCTTTTCCAACAGTCTTGAAGGAGTTCCCACATATGCTGAGCACTTGTTGGCTGCTTTTCCTTCACTCTGCAGTCCGACTCATCCCAAACCATCTCAATTTGGTTGAGGTCGGGGGATTGTGGAGGCCAGGTCATCTGATGCAGCACTCCATCACTCTCCTTCTTGCTAAAATATCATCAGGTGTGGAGGTGTGTTGGGTCATTGTCCTGTTGAAAAACAAATGATAGTCCCACTAAGCCCAAACCAGATGGGATGGCGTATCGCTGCAGAATGCTGTGGTAGCCATGCTGGTTAAGTGTGCCTTGAATTCTAAATAAATCACAGACAGTGTCACCAGCAAAGCACCCCCACACCACAACACCTCCTCCTCCATGCTTTACAGTGGGAAATACACATGCGGAGATCATCCGTTCACCCACACCACGTCTCACAAAGACACAGCGGTCGGAACCATAAATCTCCAATCTGGACTCCAGACCAAAGGACACATTTCCACCGGTCTAATGTCCATTGCTTATGTTTCTTGGCCCAAGCAAGTCTCTTCTTCTTATTGGTGCCCTTTAGTAGTGGTTTATTTGCAGCAATTTGACCATGAAGGCCTGATTCACACAGTCTCCTCTAAACAGTTGAGGCTGAGATGTGTCTGTTACTTGAACTCTGTGAAGCATTTATTTGGGCTGCAATTTCTGAGGCTGGTAACTCTAATGAACTTTTGCTCTGCAGCAGAGGTAACTCTGGGACTTCCATTCCTGTCGCGGTCCTCATGAGAGCCAGTTTCATCATAGCGCTTGATGGTTTTGCGACTACACTTGAAGAAACTTTCAAAGTTCTTGACATTTTCCAAATTTACTGACCTTCATGTCTTAAAGTAATGATGGACTGTCGTTTCTCTTTGCTTATTTGAGCTGTTCTTGCCATAATATGGACTTGGTCTTTTACCAAATAGGGCTATATTCTGTATACCCCCCCCTACCTTGTCACAACATAACTGATTGGCTCAAACACATTAAGAAGGAAATAATTTCCACAAATTAACTTTTAAGAAGGCACACCTGTTAATTGAAATGCATTCCAGGTGACTACCTCATGAAGCTGGTTGAGAGAATGCCAAGAGTGTGCAAAGCTGTCATCAAGGCAAAGGGTGGCTATTTGAAGAATCTCAAGTTTAAAATATATTTGGATTTGTTTAACACTTTTTTGGTTACTACATGATTCCATATGTGTTATTTCATAGTTTTGATGTCTTCACTATTATTCTACAATGTAGAAAATAGTAAAAATAAAGAAAAACCCTGGAATGAGTAGGTGTTCTAAAACTTTTGACCGGTAGTGTAGATTTTGAGCACAAAGCTAATGATATGTGCACCAGGTTCCTGCAACGCATGTAAATTTATGATAAGAGTGTCATTGAACAGGCCTATACCCGTGAAAACCTATTTGCTGGCACTAATAGAAACCAGAACACGTTTGTTTTTCCACAGAGTACAGCCTATGTGCCGGTCCCGTCAAACCCATTGTATTGAAACACCGGAACATCCTCAAAAGTGATCCAGGGCTTGGGCCACTCTCTCGGGGAAAACCCGTTCCAGGACTCCCTGCCTCAGAAACATGGGGGCGTGGTGACATAGGGCCACAAAATTGTGAACCGCTATAAAATAAAAATATAAAATACCATTCTCTGAAGCATCTTGTTACAAATTACATTTCTTTTTTTTTTTACAACTTTCAAATACATACAGTGGGGGAAAAAAGTATTTAGTCAGCCACCAATTGTGCAAGTTCTCCCACTTAAAAAGATGAGAGAGGCCTGTAATTTTCAACATAGGTACACGTCAACTATGACAGACAAATGGAGAAAAGAAAATCCAGAAAATCACATTGTAGGATTTTTAATGAATTTATTTGCAAATTATGGTGGAAAATAAGTATTTGGTCACCTACAAACAAGCAAGATTTCTGGCTCTCACAGACCTGTAACTTCTTCTTTAAGAGGCTCCTCTGTCCTCCACTCGTTACCTGTATTAATGGCACCTGTTTGAACTTGTTATCAGTATAAAAAGACACCTGTCCACAACCTCAAACAGTCACACTCCAAACTCCACTATGGCCAAGACCAAAGAGCTGTCAAAGGACACCAGAAACAAAATTGTAGACCTGCACCAGGCTGGGAAGACTGAATCTGCAATAGGTAAGCAGCTTGGTTTGAAGAAATCAACTGTGGGAGCAATTATTAGGAAATGGAAGACATACAAGACCACTGATAATCTCCCTCGATCTGGGGCTCCACGCAAAATCTCACCCCGTGGGGTCAAAATGATCACAAGAACGGTGAGCAAAAATCCCAGAACCACACGGGGGGACCTAGTGAATGACCTGCAGAGAGCTGGGACCAAAGTAACAAAGCCTACCATCAGTAACACACTACGCCGCCAGGGACTCAAATCCTGCAGTGCCAGACGTGTCCCCCTGCTTAAGCCAGTACATGTCCAGGCCCGTCTGAAGTTTGCTAGAGTGCATTTGGATGATCCAGAAGAGGATTGGGAGAATGTCATATGGTCAGATGAAACCAAAATATAACTTTTTGGTAAAAACTCAACTCGTCGTGTTTGGAGGACAAAGAATGCTGAGTTGCATCCAAAGAACACCATACCTACTGTGAAGCATGGGGGTGGAAACATCATGCTTTGGGGCTGTTTTTCTGCAACGGGACCAGGACGACTGATCCGTGTAAAGGAAAGAATGAATGGGGCCATGTATCGTGAGATTTTGAGTGAAAACCTCCTTCCATCAGCAAGGGCATTGAAGATGAAACGTGGCTGGGTCTTTCAGCATGACAATGATCCCAAACACACCGCCCGGGCAACGAAGGAGTGGCTTCGTAAGAAGCATTTCAAGGTCCTGGAGTGGCCTAGCCAGTCTCCAGATCTCAACCCCATAGAAAATCTTTGGAGGGAGATGAAAGTCTGTGTTGCCCAGCGACAGCCCCAAAACACCACTGCTCTAGAGGAGATCTGCATGGAGGAATGGGCCAAAATACCAGCAACAGTATGTGAAAACCTTGTGAAGACTTACAGAAAATGTTTGACCTGTGTCATTGCCAACAAAGGGTATATAACAAAGTATTGAGAAACTTTTGTTATTGACCAAATACTTATTTTCCACCATAATTTGCAAATAAATTCATAAAAAATCCTACAATGTGATTTTCTGGATTTTTTTTTCTCATTTTGTCTGTCATAGTTGACGTGTACCTATTATGAAAATTACAGGCCTCTCTCATCTTTTTAAGTGGGAGAACTTGCACAATTGGTGGCTGACTAAATACTTTTTTTCCCCACTGTATGACTAAATACTCCAAAGTAATTAAAATACCTATTTCAAATACATGTAGCTAAAAGAAATAGGCCTACTGCCCATCTGTGTATATGCACACCCAAGTCAACTCAACTACATTTGCCAACTGGCACAAGCACACTGTTTCAAAGTATTAATACCCTAGGCCTAAGTAGCATTTTCCCCGCTATTCTGGAGTGTTAACCATTACAATCAAATATTTACCATCAAAATTCAGAGACCAAGGGAGTATTTCACAAGGCAAGGGTCATGAGTCAGTGAGCCCGCTTTTGCAAATACTATAGAAAAAGGAAGTAAAAAACATATTCAATATTTACTGAATGTAGCTAGCTCCTTGCTTCTGTTTAGTGAAAAACCCCTCCAGCCGTCACTGGGACTCACTTCATTAACTATGTCTAATCTACTGCCTAGTAGTCAGGTCAAGTCACTTTCTAAACAAATGTTTACTCTGTTAATACCTGAAGCCAAGCTTACCATTTTATTTATCACGCTCAAGAAGATCAGAGGAACTTATAATGTGTGGATGAATCAATTATTTCAATAAGGTCCCTAGGGTATTTTAGTGTGCAGTGTTGACAGTTGCAAAATCAACTGAAACATTGTTTCAACACATTACAGTGGTTGTTCCAAATGAACATTGTATGACCACAGGAAGAAAGAATGGTTCTGAGGCAGCAGTGAAATGCAAGGGGCCTCATTTCGACAGCACTAAAATATGCTGAAATGTGCAAAACACTACTGTATTATTCACCTATAGATTTTTGATCTCTGCAATTTTATACTCTCAAAATGTCACCCAAAGAGGACTTCCAAATATGGAATAGGCCTTATGGAAAAGTATGTAACGTACCTTGGCCAGGGGACAGCAGCCCCAGGAACCGTCTGGGAGTTGACAGCAGGTGGTGTCGTCTGGACACTCTGCCTCGCCGTCGGGACATTTGACTGCCTTCACTCCCTCCAGCATCTAATGGAGTGACAGGCAACACATACCAATGAGTGAGTTTGAAACATGCGTTACATTTATTCAGGCAACAAAGTGAATTACCATGAATGAATAGGCTTCATAAAATTAAGAAATATAATCTATATTAAACAAAACATAGATATAATAGATTATACTAGACCAAAATACACAGATATATGGAGAATAACGTTGCATTCCCTTTACCAGATGGCCGATTAGGCGTTTGGCAGGAACTCTTCTGACCCACGGCAGAGAGACGGTTTTATTAAGGCACTTGGAGTGCACTAAATCACACACTGTCCCCTCATAACAGCAATGCAGGTGGTCTGAGCAGCACTCAGCCTGGAGATGGGATTCAAAACAGCGTCATGATTTTGGCAGCAAAACAGTCCATTTTATAGCTATGTTACAACAATTGAATGAAAAGCACCCCCACAGAATTAGCAAGACCATCAATGCTGATTATGGTTTTGCTGAGCAATGGCCATAAAATTAGCTACAGCATGTTCTTAGCTTTGTTCTTTCACACTATGGTGTTGAGTAAGCATGTTTCACACTACCAGTATGATTCAAAGCGGGGTCAGCTAGACTGACAATATGTCCTGCAGTAACCAAATTTAATCAAGCAACCACACACACAGAAACTTTAGACCAGAGACTAGTCACTTACATTCGGTAGTGGACAGCAGCCATATCCACCGCTGGGCGTCTTGCAGCAGGTGTTCCCATCTTCACACATCCCACCATCGGGACAAATCAGAGCTGAAGTCAGGCCTAGCAGAGCCAGACACACCACCCCTATCTGCACAGTCTGAGGAGAGAGATTAAGAAAACCTAAGACTGTGTGCTCGAGACATATTTCTTCATTTTTCTGATTCTGCTATGTCAATAGGTGGTGGTGATGAATAACGTTGTACACAGGGTGATCAATGTTTCAGCTGTAGGCCTACTGCGTTCGCCCACTTTAGGAATGCAGAAATCTGTGCTTAACTCCATATATTTGCTCTGAGGTTCATGTCCTTTCTAGGCAAATATTTATATGTGCTGGATCACACTAGAAAATGTAAACTCCAATCTTTAAGTCTTTATCTACACAAAACCGCCATAGCTAGTATGTCGTCTGTGTACCTATGAACCTGAAATGGCCTATTTATCTCACTCACTCACTGTAGCCTAGTAACCCATGTCCAGAAACATGATTGCTAAAATGTTATCAGAATGGACTTTTAGCACGTCCAACTCATTCCAAATAAGTACTGTAGCTAGCTAACTCAGCTACAATGCTTATTTAATACTCCTACAATGATTTTAATTTATTCTCAACAAAGAGTTGGAGGTGAATCTCTTACCATTGTATTCAGTCTGAGAAGAGGGCAGATGAGGGAATATTGTCATAAATTAGCCTTCTAAAGATGAAAGAAAACAAGAGTACACCATTATCAGATGATCACAACAACATTGAATAACAGAGCTGACAGTTGTCGCTAGCTTGGCTCGCATATTAGCTAACAAGTTAAGCAAAATCAATTGGTCAGGCGTGACACAAAATGAATGAAATGTGTTCTCTACCTTCGTGTGCAATGTAAAATTATCCTTCATTCGACGCGAGGTTGGAGTATTTTGCGATCTGGGATGACTTCAGCTTTTTTCTGAAAACAACATGCTTATCACAAGATACTCGCACGGTGTGACCAAGGGGCTTGTTCCAAATCGTCATCAGTCGCCCTGCTTGGGCGCGTTCCACAGCTAAGGCGAGGCGATGCAACAACCAATGGTGACTCACTCATCGACTGACAAGGGTTTTAACATATGATGTGGTTAGCTGATAGTTAAATACCTATCCAGGCGTTGTAAGATCTGTTACGCGTCATCAACGTCTAAGTCCATTAACGCTAATATTTTTCTCTCAAAGCTGGAGAACCTGGAGAACTGACTTCTCAGGAAGGAACCACATCAATATAATACATTATTGTTAAATATCTTTGTCAATACTGTAACTAACCAAGCGTTGATAAGACCTTCCGAGATTGGTACAGTGATAACACAGATAGAACAAAGAGACAGATGTTTCACCAGATGTATAAATCTGAAGCATCAGGTTGGAATTTCCCTCCCCACCAAATGTGGTGAGGAGAGGAAGCCCAGTGGCTGGCAGTGGGAGAGTATGGACCGAGATGGAACTGGGCTGACATTCTGCAGATTTAATGTGTTATGGGTTTTTAACCTCTGCCATATTGTGGATTCAGAGCTATCTATCTAATAAAAAACAGAGGGTATTCTTTTATGGAAGCTTCTCTAATGTTAAACATGTAAAGTGTGGTGTATCGCATGGCAGCTCTCTTGGCCCTCTACTCTTTTCGATTTACCAATGACCTGCCACTGGCATTAAACAAAGCCTGTGTGTCCATGTATGCTGATGATTCAACCCTATACGCGTCAGCAACCACAGATTCATACAGATTATACAGCCTAATCTGTTTTAATTTTCTTTTGAAGACGTCTCTTTCCCCTTGTCCGGCTGCTGCTGTGAATGAATTTTGAGTGAAGGGGATGAGTACTGTCCTGTAAAATGCTTTCAAGTTTTAGGAGGATGAGTTTTGTGTACAGGTTATTGGCTGATTCTTGATCTATACCAATTATCCTTGCCATCGTCTTAATCAAGTGCTGAAGCTTGACTTGGTCTTCCACTCGCATGTTTCCAAACACGCATATCAGACCAAAGGACAGCACACTCTGCAGGACAGATTTATAGAACATTTGTAAGATATGGCGATCGACATTAAAATGGTTGTTGCGTTAAAAAAAATCATTCTCTGTTGCAATTTCTTTATCTTTGCAAAGGCACAGTCATTGAATTTCAGTTTATTATCTATTTTGATTCCCAGGTACTTATATGAGGTCACTCTATTTCCCCATTGATCTTCGTAGGGGTTAGTGGAGTTTTGTTCCTTCTGAAAACAATTTCCATCTCTTTTGTTTTCTTAACGTTTATTTTCAAGAAAGTTATCTGGGCACCACTGGATGAATTTTGCCGTATTCACCATTCTAGATCTAGAGATGGTGGAGTTAAACTTCACTTGTTGAGTATGGTTCACAAGGAAACTATTAATCCACCTGATCAGTAGAGAGTTGACACCCAAATTCACCAGTTTATCCACCAGTAGGTGGGGTTGGATGGTGTTAAACGTGCTACTGAAGTCAATGAATACAATTTTCAATAGGCTATTTGCCTTTTCTAAATGTTCGTAGATATTGTTCAGCATGACTAGTAATGCATCATCAACACCCCTGGAGGCACGGTAGGCTAAGTGGTTTGAGTCTAATTGGGATGAGAGACAGCTAGTGAAATCACTGCAACCCTAGGGTTGCAGTCCGTTTTAGAATGGGTGGCCAGTAATAAACTGGTCCTGAACATCTCTAAAACTAAGAGCATTTTATTTGGTACAAATCATTCCCTAAGTTCTAGACCTCCGCTGAACATGGTGTGGCTGTTGACCCAGTTGAGGAGACTAAATTACTTGGTGTTACCACAGATTGTAAACTGCCATGGTCAATAGGTTCAATGGTTGTAAAGATGGGGATAGGTATGTCCATGATAAAGAGATGCTCTGCTTTTTTGACACCACACTCCACAAAGCAAGTCCTGCAGGCTCTAGTTTTATCTTATCTTGATTATTGTCCAGTCATATGGTCAAGTGCTGCAAAGAAGGACCTAGTTAAGTTGCAGCTGGTCCAGAACAGAGGGGCATGTTTTGCTCTTCATTGTAATCAGAGGGCTAATATCAATAATATGCATGCCAGTCTTTCTTGGCTAAGAGTTGAGGAAAGACTGACTGCTGTATCGCTTCTTGTTTTTATAAAGAACATTAATGTTTTGGAAATTCAAAATTGTTTGCATAGTCAACTTACACACAGCACTGACACACATATTCAAGGAAACGTACGGTATTATACAGAGCCATGATTGCATGGAACTCCCTTCCATCTCATATAGCGCAAGTGAACAGCAAACCTGATTTAAAAAAAAACAAATAAAGCAACACAAGGCATCTCCCCCATGTGCAGTGGTGGAAAAAGTACTAAATTGTCATACTTGAGTAAAAGTAAAGATACCTTGACAGAAAATGCTCAAGTAAAAGTGAAATTTACCCAGTAAAATCTACTTGAGTAAAAGTCTAAAAGTATCTGGTTTTAAATGTACTTAAGTACAGTAGTAGAAAAAGTACTCAATTGTCATACTTGAGTAAAAGTACAAAGTAAAAGTAAATGCTATACATCAAATTCCTTATATTAAGCAAACCAGACGGCACAATTTTTGTATTATTTTTAATTACGGACAGACAGGGGCACACTCCAACACTCAGACATAATTTACAAACACAGTATTTGTGTTTCGTGAGTCCACCAGATCAGAGACAGTAGGGATGACAAAGCGTTATAATAATAATAATATAATAATATGCCATTTAGCAGACGCTTTTATCCAAAGCGACTTACAGTCATGCGTGCATACATTTTTGTGTATGGGTTATATTGATAGGTGCCATAATTCTGTCCTGCTTGAGCATTCTAAATGTAATGAGTACTTTTAAGTGTCAGGGAAAATGTATGGAGTAAAAAGTAAAAGTTGCAAAAAATATAAATAGTAAAGTAAAGTACAGATACCCCAAAAAACTACTTAAGTAGTACTTAAAATTATTTTTACTTAAGTACTTTACACCACTGCCCATGTGACATACTTTTTGTGTGTATGTAGGTACTGACAATGTATGTGTAATTGATAGATGCAAACACACACGCACACTACAGGTTAATGTTTTAAAATGTATGTAAATTGTAAAGTATTTTGTCTGTAATGTATTTTTCGTTATGTATCGGACCCCAGTAAGACTAGCTTTTGCCACTGACGTCAGCTAATGGGGATCCTAATAAAATCACATTTTAAAAAAATGCTAATTGAAGAAAAGCCCGATATCAGTACAGTTTTCTGTTCCCAAAACTAGAATCTGTTATGAACATAGTGCACTAGGTTTTGTAGACGTGACCCTTTGCCAAAGTTTCTAAAAATGGCGTTGTTTACGAGGAGCGCAAGAGCGAATTGAGCTATTGCACAAGTGCACTCCACAGAGAAGGCGTTCCCTACAGGAAATATACATGCTAGAATGCACCAATAGGATCTCGCTAGCTCATGCTTGGCTCTGCCCACCTCTTTCCTTGTTCTGCCCACTATGCTTAATTTGCTCCCATTGAAAACGACATAGATGAACTATTTGGGGTTAGTTATTTATTTGGTGATAATCTTTCGTGACAGGGCTAAAATTAAGATGACCTGGAACGCGCCCAGTCTTTGCTTACAGCTGATTTCTGACCAATCACTGGTTAGGTACATGGTTCCGTAATTTCCGTTTCCGCTCCGCCATCCAAGCCCTTCCCCCTTACCGTGAAAACCCAAAATAGTTTTTAAAAGCTTTTAACAGCTCGCATTTCAATTAAATAAACCACTGAGCGTAACGTGTGTGTGTTGAGGCAGGCGGAGTTTTGCAAGAATTTGCTACGAATTCAGGTGGTGAGTGAACGCACCCGTAGCCACCTGTTTAGCCAATAGCTAACTAGCTAGCTAGCCAGGCACAGAGACCCCCCCATAATGTCATGGTGTAATTCGCACTAGCCACTGAGGTAACCCATACAAATGAATGGAAGTATGGAGGTAGTTTTGTGCCAACAAAAATAAGGGTTTAAATATGTGTCCAAAACCCACAAATATTTCCTGAGCTTTCTTATATCTCCTACATATTAAAAACCTTATTCCTTAGGATTTATTTTTTGACTATTTAGCCATTTATGAATGTGTTATTCAATGCGTTTCTATGGGCTATAATTCAATATTTTATGAAAATATTTTTTTATATACCTAAAGGGGTCCTACAATTCAAAATCAAATAGCTAAATGATCCATGGTATAACCATCAGGGTTTTTTTTATCAAGAAGGGGCACATAAGTGACCCTGCAGGGACAGTTTCATCAGCTACCCCATAAAAGCACATGAGGGGGAGGAGTTTCTGTGATGTAGGCTGGCTTTGGCTCTGCCATTGGTTGATGGCAGGTCTTGTTTATACTGTCTGGAATGTTTAATAAAAAGGTTGGACAGTAGCCATTTCAAAGGAGATGGGCTTATAGACGTGGCTTCATAACATACATAAACAGGACTTGGTTGATAAGCAGGTATCACCGTGAGTTTTTCTCTCCTTTATCCAAATGCAGACAGACTATGTCATTCAATAAAACCTGGAATCCTAACTTCTGTGACTTTTTTCAGTGTTCAGCTGTGATGTGAATTCTGCAAGTTCAAGAAATGAAAAGAGAGATAGAACTTGGAACATTGAAGATTTGACAGGGATTTAATTTCTCTAGCTTTTATAGCGGCTGAAAGTGCGGGTCAGTTGACCATGCTGCTACGGAGGCTGTCTCTGTGTGTCGGGCTCCCCCTGAACCCCAGGACTCAACGCGCCATCATCTTCCCTCGTCTAGCCAAAGCACTGACACAAGGCAAGTGGGAATGGCAAACATATGCATACATTCAAATACCCACACACATAATATAGGCCTACGTGCACCTGTAATTGAGGAGATGTATAGATGTCTATGTAGGATAAATGTTGAAAATATTAGGCTATTATTCCAGTGATTGCAATTTCAATGATTTCAGTAGCTTGAGTTTTTAGTAATAGCATGATCATTTCCCCAAGCAAGAAGGATAGCCTAGTTCCCTAAATTGATCAAGTCCCAATCGTTCAATGATATCATCTTGCATACTTGTGTATACTTTTTTATCCTCCTGGGGCCCCTGATAACATGAGTTGGGATTGATTGCATTAAGATAATGGAGGCCTATCCCTTTCTGTCCATCTTAATCTATCTCTCTGTTTCTGTTATTTCCCCTCACCCCTGCACCCCAGTCTTTTTCTCTTCCCCTCTCTGTTTCTATCTCCCTCTCTCCCTATCTCTCTCATGCGGTTGGCTGCTCTTTAGTGGAGAGATGTGTGCAGTTAGCACTGGCTTTGGCGGTTGCCGTGCTGATGTGACAGTTTGCACCCTGGCATTTTCCATCTCCATGGATACCAGGGAATTTAGGAGGGGGGTGAAGGGGATTCCTGGCTGCTCTGTTAGCCTAACACTTTATATAATCAGTGATGGACCAAAACAGAACCTAGCACACACACATACTGGTAGGAGATGTACTGTTGTGTGTATGCTTATGCTGGTTAGGCACAGTGTTTATGAACATTGTCTCAAGCTAACATGGGTATGTGTGCACAGCACACTATATGCATATGTGAAGGTTGCATGAAGCTGATCTGTTATCTTAGATCTTCCCTCCTCCATTTAGGCCCTGCTTTAATTATTCTTTCATCCAAGTAAGGGAGGGAGGCAATAAGGATACATGTATAAAGCATTTGAACAGGGCTTCAGACTAGAGCTGGGACGATAAACTGGAAATGATCGACACCGACCATACTGATCATTTATCGCTGTAGCGGGTGATGATGGACAGAGTCAGACGCAGGAGAGGAAATCACAGAATAAATGGTTTAATCAATAAACAGAGGTACGCAGCAATGTGTAATACACACCAGTGCGGACAAACGGCGCACTGGGGAAAATAAGGCACACGGGTGAATAACCCAGCGATACACAATAGAAACGAGCTCCACCGAGCTATAATCTCTACAATAAACAATCCCACACAAAGACAAGGGGGCAGAGGGAACACTTATACAGGTACTGATGAGGGGATATGAACCAGGTGTGTGTAATAAACAAGACAAAACAAATGGAATGATGAGATGAGGAGCGGCAGTGGCTAGAAGGCCGGTGACAACGAACGCCGAAGCCTGCTCGAACAAGGAGAGGAGGCAGCTTCGGAGGAAGTTGTGACAGTAGCCCCCCTCCCCCTTGACGCGCAGCTCCAGCAGCGCGCCGACTCCGGCCTCGGGGACGGCCAGGAGGACGTGGAGCAGGGCGAGCCGGATGGCGACGGTGGAAATCCCACAACAGGGAGGGATCGAGGATATCCCTCACCGGGACCCAGCACTGCACCTCTGGACCGTACCCCTCCCACTCCACGAGGTACTGAAGGCCCGGCCTGAGGAGAGACACAGGGAACGAGGGGTTAATACGGTAATCTGGAGGGAGTAGTAACCTAAAGGTAACCTTGTTTATTCTCCTCAGGACTTTGAACGGCCCCACAAACCGTGGGCTCAGCTTCCACCAGGGCAGGCGGAGGGGCAGATTCCGGGTTGAGAGCCAGACCCAATCACCCGGTACAAAGACCGGGGCCTCATTGCGGTGGCGGTCAGCGTTGGCCTTCTGGCGACGCATGGCGCGCTGGAGGTGGACGTGAGCAGCGTTCCACGTCTCCTCCGTGTGCCGAAACCAGTCATCCACCGCAGAAGCTTCGGTCTGGCTCTGATGCCACGGTGCCAGAACCGGCTGATAACCTAAAACACATTGGAATGGCGATAGGTTAGTGGAGGAGTGGCGGAGAGAGTTCTGGGCATATTCGGCCCATGGCAAGAACACTGACCACTCCCCCGCCCAGTAGGACCGCAGGAACCTACCCACGTCCTGATTCACCCGTTCCACCTGCCCATTACTCTCGGGGTGAAACCCAGAGGTCAGTCTGACCGAGACCCCCAGACGTTCCATGAACGCCTTCCAGACCCTGGATGTAAACTGGGGACCCTGGTCAGACACTATGTCCTCTGGCACCCCTTAGTGCCGGAAGACGTGAGTAAACAGGGCCTCCGCAGTCTGCAGGGCCGTGGGGAGACCGGGCAGAGGCGGCAGGCTTTTGAAAAGCGGTCCACAACGACCAGGATGGTGGTGTTACCCTGAGAGAGGGGAAGATCAGTGAGAAAGTCAATACACAGGTGGGACCATGGTCGTTGTGGAACTGGTAAGGGCTGTAACTTACCCGCTGGGAGGTGCCTAGGTGCCTTACTCTGGGCGCACACTGAGCAGGAGGAGACATACACCCTCACGTCCTTAGCCAAGGTAGGCCACCAGTACTTTCCGGTCAGGCAACGCACTGTACGGCCGATACCTGGGTGACCAGAGGAGGGGGATGTGTGTGCCCAATAGATCAGACGGTCACCGCGACCAAGCATGTCCCGAAACACCTCACTCAAAACATTCCTCCCTCTCTCAATCATTCTATCTCTCTCTGTCAGTTTCAGTCAGTACCAGTTCTGGAGGCGCGGGTCTGTGCGGTAGCCGGACAGAGTGGTCTGATGGCCCTGTATGAGGCCATGTTCACGCAGTACAGCACAATGTACCTACACTTTCTCAATGTATTTGAATTCGCACTGTTACCCAGCACAATTGCCCCTCAATAAAGTTTTATCGAAACAGGATTTGCTCTGATGTAATCCCAGGTCCTGGTCACCAACCTGGACTTCCACGACGACCAGAAGCGGCGGAACCTGAACAACACCCTGCAGGAGCTGCTCCGCATGAACATCATACCCATCATCAACACCAACGATGCCGTGGTACCCCCGCCCGAGCCCAACAGCGACCTCCAGGGGGTAAACAAGGGTACAGGGCACAGGGGGGAGAGGTGTGTACAGCGGAATAGTGTTAGCTGCTAGCATACTAGCATACAGCTGTTACATTTCACCGCCTCGCCTCGCTCTACCTGCCCGCTAACCCTCCTTTGCATGCAGGGAGGGCTAGAGGAGATGGGAGGGGTGCATGCATCACTTTAGTTTCCTTTTGGATGAGAGCGGACTGGGCCTAGAAGTGTGGCTGTCTGGGGCTGACTCCTGGAGGAAGAAGCACGCTTCTTTTCTCCTTTCGCAAGCCCAGGCGGAACGAACAAGTTCTTCTGCTGTAGAAAACGCACTACTACTAGTAATAAACGACTAAACATTGTAGTATCAGTGGCTTTGCTAACCCACACAGTAGGCAAACCAATATCAACAATAGCTCATCTGCATAGTGGAGCTAATCTACATGTGGTGCTTCACCTTATCATGAAATGCTTCGATTTTAGTGACACATTTTCTTATCAATTTCAACTGATAACAAACATCAGAAAACAGTCTAGTCATTGACCCTTGACCCCATCAATTTCTATCTCTTGCTGTGAGACTAATACGTTTTTCCTCCACTTCAGGTCATCAGTATAAAGGACAATGACAGTCTGGCTACACGCCTGGCCGTGGAGATGAAGGCAGACCTGCTCATCGCTCTCTCTGATGTAGAAGGTACGCTGCTAACACAACAACACATTAACACCCATTAGGTAACGCTACAACAATACATTAACACCCATTAGGTAACGCTACAACAACACATTAACACCCATTAGGTAACGCTACAACAACACATTAACACCCATTAGGTAACGCTACAACAACACATTAACACCCATTAGGTAACGCTACAACCACACACAGTCATTTAGGAGCATTCATGTAAGAGAGAGAACTACAGGTTTTTGGGGTTGTGTTTATCAGGCACTGAATGGAAGAAAACAGAGTGAAACAAGGAGTGACCACCTGGACTTGTCCAATAGGAAACCCTAATTTTTGTGCCCTAATAAACACGACCCTGGTTGTATTTGGAAATATCACTGATGGATTGGACTGGAAGGTCATCTTTGTGCATGTTAGGCTAGCACTAAAGTAAACAATCATGTGACCTCCCATCTCTCGTAGGACTGTACGACAGCCCTCCTGGAACGGATGACGCCAAACTCATTGACATCTTCTACCCTGGTGACCAGCAGTCGATCACCTACGGTAAGAAATCCAGGGTGGGGATAGGAGGCATGGAGGCCAAGGTACTTATACAGATGCCAATGTTAATTTTGGCAGTCTTTTTTTAGATTTAGTCTAGTCTTAGTCATTTTGACTAAAATATCATTAAGTCTTAGGCACATTTTTGTCATTTGAATAATTATTTAGTCTAGTCATTGTCAAAATGACGAAAACAGTGGGCCATTTTAGTCAACTAAATACCCTTTCATTTTAGTCACATTTTAGTCACATCGCATTTGTGTTGCCTCATTAACCTATAGTAAACATAAATCAGTGACTTCCATGTGCGCAAACATAAAGTCTTAATAGGGCGTTGGGCCACCACGAGACACCAGAACAGCTTCAATGCACCTTGGCATAGATTCTACAAGTGTCTGGAACTATTGGAGTTCTTCCACGAGAAATTCCATCATTTGGTGTTTTTTTGATGATGGTGGAAAATGCTGTCTCAGGCGCCGCTCCAGAATCTCCCATAAGTGTTCAATTGGGTTGAGATCTGGTGACTGAGACAGCCAAGGCATATGGTTTACATAGTTTTCATGCTCATCAAACCATTCAGTGACCACTCGTGCCCTGTGGATGGGGGCATTGTCAACCTATGGGGCCATAGCCATGGTAGCCAAAATAGTGGCCTGCCCAGCTATTTTATACATGACCCTAAGCATGATGGGATGTTAATTGCTTAATTAACCCAGGAATCACACCTTTGTGGAAGCACCTGCTTTCAATATACTTTGTATCCCTCATTTACTCAAGTGTTACCATTATTTTGGCAGTTACCTGTAGATTAGAATAGAAAAAGTGTGTGTTCAATACATGTAAGAGTGGAGGACTACAGAGGTTCTAGGTCTACATGTCTGTAATCAGGTTTTAAGAAAGTCTTTGGAACTCAATGTGTGTCAGAGTGAGATTTGGCTTTAACCCACTGTTAAGCAAGTCTTTACATTGGGGGCCAAATCCTTACTTGGGAAACAGAAAATTGGTTAAGTGTATCCCCCCCTCTACCTCCAGGTAAAGGCTGCCCTGTGGGCCCTACAGGGGGGCACGTCGGTAGTCATCGCCAACGGCATCCACCCCAAGGTGACGGGCCACATCATCACTGACATCGTGGAGGGCAAGAAAGTGGGCACCTTCTTCTCCGAGGTCAAACCTGCCGGTGAGTTCCCCCGGGTCATCTCTGGGTGACAGACACTGGTGATGAAGGTTTGATGATGATGATCACCATGACAACAATGAGCATAATGATAATGGTGATAATTATGGCGAGGATCACAATAATGAGGATTATGGTGGTTCTTATAATGAAGAAGATGTTTGTAATTCTAAATGATGATGATAATTATGGTCACGACAGCCTCATCGAGAACCAGGCTTCCCTAATCGGAAAAGCCTGGTGAAGTCTATGGCAGAAAGTAGCTACAAAGGGGTGGAAACCAGTGACGCCTCGCAACACGTCAAACCAATCAACTGCCTTGCTTGGGCAGAGCTCAAAAGTGTCTGAAGATGGCCGGGAAATGGCCGATTTAAAAACCCCATCGAAATATGTTGATGTATGCTGTGTTTGTGGTGGCTTTCAATTTCAATAAATGACAGAAGGTCAGCCACATTTGATACACTAAACGTTTACCATATCCTGTAGGTAGACACGGGATAATGTCTGTTGAGTGATCAAGAAGATGAGTTGCAATGCCTTCATCGACTCGGAAAACAGTGACGAACATAACACCTGTGTTGTCCTTCTACGGGCATGTGTGGGGTTGTGTTTGTACACTGCTGATAATTTTTTGGTAAGATGGAGTGTTCGTGCTGGGAGTCAAGCTATACAGTGCTATGAAAAAGTATTTGCCCCCTTTCTAATTTTCTCTACTTTTGCATATTTGTGATACTGAATGTTATCAGATCTTCAACCAAAACCTAATATTAGATAAAGGGAACATAAGTGAACAAATAACACAACAATTACATATTTATTTCATTTATTTCATAAACAAAGTTATGCAACACCCAATTCCCCTGTGTGAAAAAGTAATTGCCCCCTTACACTCAATAACTGGTTGTGCCACCTTTAGCTGCAATGACTCCAACAAAATGCTTCCTGTAGTTGTTGATCAGTCTCTCACGTCACTGTGGAGGAATTTTGGCCCACTCTTCCATACAGAACTGCTTTAACTCAGTGACGTGTGGGTTTTCAAGCATGAACTGCTCGTTTCAAGTCCTGCCACAACATCTCAATTGGGATTAGGTCTGGACTTTGACTAGGCCATTCCAAAACTTCAAATTTGTTGCTTTTAAGCAATTTTCATGTAGATTTGATTGTGTGTTTTGGATCATTGTCTTGCTGCATGACCCAGCTGCGCTTCAGCTTCAGCTCACAGACGGATGGTCTGACATTCTCCTGTAGAATTCTCTGATACAGAGCAGAATTCATGGTTCCTTCTATTAAGGCAAGTCGTCCAGGTCCTGAGGCAGCAAAGCATCCCCAAACCATCACACCACCACCACCACCATGCTTGACCTTTGGTATGATGTTCTTACTGTGGAATGTAGTGTTTGGTTTTCGCCAGGCATAATGGGACCCATCTCGTCCAAAAAGTTGACTCAAGTTTGCCAAAAAGCACCTGGATGATCATCAAGACTCTTGGAAGAACGTTCTATGGACAGATGATTCAAAAGTATAACTTTTTGGACGACATAGTTCCAGTAATGCCTGGCGAAAACCAAGCTCTGTGGTGCCATATTCTTTCCATTTTTTAATAATGGATTTAATGGTGCTCTGTGGGATGTTCAAAGTTTCAGATATTGTTTTATAACCCAACCCTGATCTGTACTTCTCCACAACTTTGTCCCTGACCTGTTTGGAGAGCTCCTTGGTTTTTATGGTGCCGCTTGCTTGGTGGTGCCCCTTGCTTAGTGGTGTTGCAGACTCTGGGGCCTTTCAGAACAGGTGTATAAATACTGAGATCATGTGACAGATCATGTGACACTTAGATTGCACACAGGTGGACTTTATTTAACTAATTATGTGACTTCTGAAGGTAATTGGTTGTACCGGATCTTATTTAGGGGCTTCATAGCAAAGGGGGTGAATACATATGCACGCACCACTTTTCCATTATTTATTTGTTATAATTTTTTGAAACAAGTTATTTTTTTCATTTCACTTCACCAATTTTGACTATTCTGTGTATGTCCATTACATGAAATCTAAATAAAAATCAATTTAAATTACAGGTTGTAATGCAACAAAATAGGAAAAACGCCAAGGGGGATTAATACTTTTGCAAGGCACTGTATTTGAAGTATTTGAAAGTATTTAAAAATACTATTTGAAACTTTTTCCAAATATATTTCAAATATCCCTAGGACTAAATAGACCTGGTTCAAATGTATGGGAGTATTTAAATATTTGTATTTGAAAATATACTAATAATACATGCCATTACTTTTCCAATAAAAAATATCAAAATACTTAATGTAATGTATTTGAAAGTAATTGAAATACCTTTTCAACTAGTATTTGAACCCAGGTCTGACACAGACACGCCCACATAATTGAATTGTTGTTTTACTACCAATGAAGGAGAAGGAAGTGATTGATTGATGTTTTCTCTCTCCAGTCAGAGACTCTAAATGTGACTATCCTGCGGCCTGCAATGCTATGGAAACACTGTTGGTTCACAGGGACATACTCAGGACTCCTCTGTTTGACCAGATCATAGACATGCTCCGTACCGAACGGGTAAGACCACTCACTCACACACAAACAAATACACAGGTACAGACACACTGACATAAAGTGATATAATCCTCCTTTTCTCCAACTAAAATACAGGTTGAAATCACTCAAAGGTTTCTTGGTTAAATAAGATGACTGGTTGGTTGGTGATATGATTTGTTACATTTTACTACAACTTATAATCAAATATTCCATTTATTTTCCTAGGGTTGAGGTGAGGTGGATGGGTTTACACATGTTGATTAACTGCATTTCTCATGTCTCATTGTTGATGATTTATGCTTCTGAAAACAAATTCACAAAAATGAACACTAACAACTTACTATGCAATTGATGATTATCATAAGACGACATACTACCAAGTATCACTAAAACTTAGGTTGTGTTTCACAATGGCAGATCTATCTATGGAACTCTTGTCACGGTTTCGGCCGAGGCTGCCTCTCTCCCTTGTTCGGGCAGGCTTCGGCGTTCGTTGTCTCCGGAATACTAGCTGCCACCGTTGTATGTTTCATGTTCGTTTGCTTTTGTCTGATTGTTGTCACACCTGTTTTCATTTAGTGTCATTAGTGTCCTATTTAGTTCTCGTTGTGTTTGTCAGGTGTTGTGTGTTATTGATTTTTGTCTGTCGTGTGTAGGGCTGATGTTCGCTATTTCGCTCGGTTGAGCTTCTCTCCACTGCGTGGAGTGTTTTCGCACCTGTGTAGTGCGCATTTGTTTTGTGCGCCTTCGTGCGTTATTTCGCCTTCGGGCAAGTGTTCTCGTAATTTCCTTGTTGGAGAGTTACTAAAGTCTGTTGGACTATACTTCGGTGTCCTGCGTTTGATTCCACCACTACACCCACCTACAGCACGCGTGACAGAATAACACACCTTTAAATGGAATCAGCAGGAGCTGCAGCAGCCCAGACGACGCTGGAGGACCAGGTTCGGGAACAACGGGACCAGATCCTGCAGATGGGGACCGCACTGCAGGAGGTGATCACCACCATTCGAGGCTGGGGAACGCCTCCACCGCCACCCTCCCTGCCAGCACCATCGGCCAGTCCGCCCATTCCAGCACCGGAACCCCGAGGAGTCCGACTCTCGCTCCCGAGGTCCTACGATGGAACCGCGGCCGGGTGTCAGGGATTCCTTCTCCAGGTGGAGCTGTACCTGGCCACCGTGCACCCGGCGCCCTCGGGACATGAGAGCGTGTCCGCCCTGATCTCCTGCCTTTCCGGGAAGGCATTGGAATGGGCCAACGCGGAGTGGAGGAGGATCGACGCGGACACCATCACGTACGACGAGTTCTCCCGCCGCTTCAGGGCGGTGTTTGACCATCCCCCGGAGGGGAAAGCGGCGGGGGAGCGTCTGGTCTTCCTCCGGCAGGGGAGGAGGAGTGCGCAAGAGTTCGCCCTCGAATTCCGTACTCTAGCGGCAGATGCAGGGTGGAATGATCGGGCTCTCGTCGATCACTACAGGTGTAGTCTACGAGAGGACGTCCGTCGGGAGCTGGCTTGTAGGGACACCAGCCTCTCGTTCGACCAGTTGGTCGACATGTCCATCAGGCTGGATAACCTACTAGCTACCCGCGGACGTTCCGAGGGGGGTCCGTCCATTTCACCCTCCAGCGCCTCCGAGCCGTGTCCCATGGAGCTCGGGGGTGCTGGCGCTAGAGAGAGGAGGGGTCGGCTTACTAGGGGGTCCATCCCCTGCACCAACTGTGGTCGGGGAGGGGGATTGTGCGATAGACCTCCAGGCAGGAGCTGCGCTCCCACGGAGCCATGTGTATCCTCTGTCTCAGGAGGAGAAGAAAGCTATGGAGACTTACATAGACGAATCTCTGAGACAAGGATACATACGGCCTTCCACTTCCCCTGCGTCCTCGAGTTTCTTTTTTGTGAAGAAGAAGGATGGTGGTTTGCGCCCATGCATCGATTACCGTGGTCTCAATCAGATCACGGTGAAGTACAGTTATCCACTCCCGCTGATTGCGACCATGACTGAGTCCTTGCATGGGGCGCGTTTCTTCACTAAATTAGATCTCAGGAGCGCGTACAACTTGGTGCGCATCAGGGAGGGCGATGAATGGAAGACAGCCTTTAGTACCACCTCGGGCCATTACGAGTATCTTGTCATGCCATACGGGTTGATGAACGCTCCGTCAGTTTTCCAATCATTCGTGGATGAGATCTTCAGGGACATGCAGGGGCAGGGGGTCGTGGTGTACATAGATGACATTCTCGTGTACTCGCCGACCCGTGTCGAGCATGTGGCCCTGGTGCGCAGAGTGTTGCGGAGGCTGGTGGAGCACGACCTGTATGTTAAGGCAGAGAAGTGTCTGTTTTTCCAGGAGTCGGTCTCCTTTTTGGGGTATCAGTTGTCTGCGTCAGGGGTGAAGATGGAGGTAGACCGGGTGTCAGCCGTGCGTAATTGGCAAACACCAACCACTGTGAAGGAGGTGCAGCAGTTTTTGGGGTTTGCGAATTACTACCGGAGGTTTATCCGGGGTTTTGGACAGGTGGCAGCTCCCATCACGTCTCTCTTGAAGGGGGGCCCGGTGCGTCTGCAGTGGTCTGCCGAGGCGGACAGGGCATTTGGGAGGCTGAAGGACCTGTTTACCTCGGCTCCAGTGCTGGCGCATCCGGATCCCTCTTTACCATTTCAGGTAGAGGTGGACGCGTCTGAGGCCGGTATAGGAGCCGTGCTTTCACAAAGATCAGGCGCGCCACCTAAACTCCGCCCCTGTGCTTTTTATTCCAAGAAGCTCAGTCCGGCGGAGCGAAACTATGATGTAGGTGACAGGGAGCTGTTAGGTGTGGTACAGGCCCTAAAGGTGTGGAGGCACTGGCTTGAGGGGGCTCAACACCCTTTCCTCATTTTGACGGACCACCGTAACCTGGAGTACATCCGGGCAGCGAGGAGGCTAAACCCTCGGCAGGCTAGATGGAATATGTTTTTGACCCGGTTTACGTTTAAGATCACGTACATCCCTGGGTCCCAGAACGGTAAGGCAGATGCGCTGTCTCGGCGGTATGACACGGAGGAGAGGTCCGTGGAGCCCACTCCCATACTGCCGGAGTCGTGTCTGGTGGCACCGGTAGTGTGGGAGGTCGATGCTGAGCTCGAGCGGGCGTTACGCACCGACCCTAGTCCACCACAGTGCCCGGAGGGTCGGAAGTACGTTCCGCTCGAGGTTCGGGATCGATTGATCTATTGGGCTCACACGTCACCCTCCTCTGGACATCCGGGTATCGGGCGGACAGTGCACTGTCTTAGTGCCAAGTACTGGTGGCCCACGTTGGCAAGGGATGTGAGGGTTTATGTTTCCTCCTGCTCGGTGTGCGCCCAGTGTAAGGCGCCTAGACATCTGCCTAGGGGTAAGTTACTACCCCTGCCCGTGCCACAACGACCATGGTCCCACCTCTCGGTGGATTTCCTTACTGACCTTCCTCCTTCACAGGGGAATACCACTATACTGGTCGTTGTGGACCGGTTTTCTAAGGCCTGTCGTTTGCTCCCCATGCCGGGCCTTCCTACCGCCCTGCAAACTGCCGAAGCCCTATTCACCCATGTGTTCCGGCACTACGGGGTACCCGAGGATATTGTGTCTGATCGAGGTCCCCAATTTACCTCCAGAGTCTGGAGGGCCTTTATGGAGCGGTTGGGGGTCTCGGTGAGCCTCACCTCGGGTTACCACCCGGAGAGTAATGGGCAGGTGGAACGTGTAAACCAGGATGTGGGCAGGTTTCTTAGAACATACTGCCAGGACCGGCCGGAGGAGTGGGCAAGGTACGTTCCCTGGGCCGAAATGGCCCAGAATTCCCTACGCCATTCCTCCACTAACCTAACCCCTTTCCAATGTGTGTTAGGTTACCAGCCGGTTCTGGCACCCTGGCAGCAGAGCCAGATCGAGGCTCCTGCGGTGGATGAGTGGGCGAGGCGCTCGGAGGAGACATGGAACGCTGCACACGTCCACCTGCAGCGGGCCCTCCGACGTCATAAGGCGAGCGCCGATCTCCACCGCAGTGAGGGACCGGTGTACGCACCTGGTGATCGAGTCTGGCTCTCTACCAGGAACCTGCCCCTCCGCCTGCCCTGTCGGAAACTGGGTCGGCGGTTTGTAGGGCCATTTAAAGTTCTGGGAAGGTTGAACGAGGTGTGTTATAAATTACAGCTACCTGTTGAATATAAAAGTATTAACCCCTCGTTCCATGTGTCCCTTCTCAGGCCGGTGGTAGCTGGCCCACTCCAAGAAAGTGAGATCAGGGAGACTCCTCCGCCCCCATTGGACATCGAGGGGGCACCGGCGTACTCCGTGAGGTCCATCTTGGATTCGAGACGTCGGATGGGGGGTCTCCAGTATCTAGTGGAGTGGGAGGGGTACGGTCCGGAGGAGCGGTGCTGGGTGCCGAGGAGAAACATTTTGGACCCGTCTCTCCTGACGGAATTCCATCGTGGGCACCCGACGCACCCTGCTCCGCGTCCTCCGGGTCGTCCCCGAGGCCGGAATCGGCGCACGTCTGGAGCCGCGCGTCAAGGGGGGGGTACTGTCACGGTTTCGGCCGAGGCTGCCTCTCTCCCTTGTTCGGGCAGGCTTCGGCGTTCGTTGTCTCCGGAATACTAGCTGCCACCGTTGTATGTTTCATGTTCGTTTGCTTTTGTCTGATTGTTGTCACACCTGTTTTCATTTAGTGTCATTAGTGTCCTATTTTGTTCTCGTTGTGTTTGTCAGGTGTTGTGTGTTATTGATTTTTGTCTGTCGTGTGTAGGGCTGATGTTCGCTATTTCGCTCGGTTGAGCTTCCCTCCACTGCGTGGAGTGTTTTCGCACCTGTGTAGTGCGCATTTGTTTTGTGCGCCTTCGTGCGTTATTTCGCCTTCGGGCAAGTGTTCTCGTAATTTCCTTGTTGGAGAGTTACTAAAGTCTGTTGGACTATACTTCGGTGTCCTGCGTTTGATTCCACCACTACACCCACCTACAGCACGCGTGACAACTCTATGGAAACTTTGGTCATTTATACTTTAACTTTTTTTTTTATTATTCATATAAAAAAATTATCTAATCAACAATGACATTTGCAATTATTTTCACAACTGCCACCAGTTTGGCGTCAAAACATTTACAACAAAGACATATTGACATAGTACAATAAATACAAGCGTGTAAAAATATAAAGGACATCCATGCTGAAACCCTCATATTTGTCACGAACATTGACTGATGACTCGTGGAACCAAGGCGCAGCGTGATAAGCGTACATTTTATTTAGTACACAACACACGAACAAAACGAACGATACGTGAAGTCCTGAGGTTACAACAACACAAACCTTTACGGAACAAGATCCCACAAACTAACTGGTGCCAACAGGCTGCCTAAGTATGGTCCCCAATCAGAGACAACGAGCTACAGCTGCCTCTGATTGGGAACCACCCTGGCCAACATAGAACTAAACGATCTAGAACAAAAAACATAGAAAACCAAACATAGAAAATCCACACCCTGGCTCAACATTTAAGAGTCCCCAGAGCCAGGGCGTGACATTCCCCCCCCCCCCCCAAAGCCGCGCCACACAAACACAAGAGGGTAGGGGCCGGGTGGGCATTCCGCCTCGGAGGCGGATCCGGCTCCGGGCGTGACCACCACCTTTTCTCCACCTCCCCGTTGCACCCCTGGTCTGGTCTGGTCCCGCTGACTGGAGCTGGACCCGACGACGGTGGACCAGACCTTACCGGCTCCGGACTGGAGCCGCTGGCCGGAGCTGGACTGGACACCGGTGGAGCGGATTGCTCTGGCTCAACATTTAAGAGTCCCCAGAGCCAGGGCGTGACAATATTAAACACAAACGGTATTCACTAAGTTGATGGGTTATATATAGGATAATGTTTAACAGCTTTGTCATTCTATTTTAATATATTTTTTAAATAATCTTATTTTATTAGTTTATATATTTTACATGTTATGAAAATTCAATAAAATCCTTTAAAGTTTCAAAAATTCCAGTAGTTTACTGGTAAACTTTTAAAGTTACCGGTAATATACCCTCCCTTTGTAATCCTAGATCCAAACAAATTAACTGATTGCTAAACTGGCTGAGTCAGACAACCTTAACTCCCCGATTGATTGATTAATTCACCGATCGCTTTATGTAATGATGACCCCCTTCCATGTGCGACCCCTCTAGGTGACGATCCACGCTGGCCCCAGGTTCGCCTCCTACCTGACCTTCAGCCCATTGGAGGTCAAGTCTCTGAGGACAGAGTACGGGGATCTGGAGTGCTGCATCGAGGTGGTGGACAGTATGCAGGAGGCTATAGATCATATCCACAGATATGGCAGCTCCCACACCGACGTCATTGTTACTGAAAACGGTAGGACTGTCTAGTTGTTAGTTGTGAAAAGTTTCTGTTTTGCTCTTTTGTTTTTATCTCACCTTGATTCACCCAGATTAGTCTGGGTGAGAGAGACCAGATCTCTCTTCAAGAGAGACCTGCCCCCCCCCCCCCCCCCCCCCCCCCCTTCTCTCTCTCCCTTGCTCTCTCTTTCTCTAAGTGATGACAGCACTTTTTGGCTCAGTGTTCAACCTCCCTGTGAGACTACTTTGAAGAGGACAGAACTGATTTGAATGTAGAACAGGTTTTGCTAAGGGATCAGCGTTATTCATTTATATTTAGTTATAGGACTTATCGTCATCTTAAATGTTATTGGCCTCTCAATTTTGATAATTCATTTTGATTGAGTACTTTACTGACAATATCCAAGATAGGTTGGATTATAGATGTTTAGTTTTGTTGGTACCCTGCAGAGGACAAAATTTGAATTATAGATGTTTTTTTAGTCGGTTCCCTGCAGACAGCATTTCTGCCTCAGTTCTACCATCTAGTGGCCACAGATTGTACAACACGTAGAACTACATTGAATTCTCCATTGTGTGTAATGGATGAAATATATTGTATATAGCTGAAGAGAGATGTTGATGTTTAATGATGATGACAGTGACAATGATGGTAGTTGATGATGGTAGTGGTGACAATGATGGTGATGATGAGGATTCTTACAGAGGACACAGCGGAGCAGTTCCTGCAGCAGCTGGACAGTGCTTGTGTGTTCTGGAACGCAATTCGCAGATGGATACCGCTTCGGACTAGGTATGTGTTCAGTAATTATTTTTGTATCACCTCACTTCCTGTTCAACTATCCTACTCACTCCCTCCCTCCTCTAGGTGCTGAGGTGGGCATCAGTACAGCTTGTATCCATACCCGGGGTCCCATGGGCCTAGAGGGTCTCCTCACCAGCATGTGGGTCCTGAGAGGAGACGACCACACCGCAGCAGACTTCTCTGAACAGGGCACCATAAAGTACCTCCACGAGAACTTGCCAGTCACACAGCCACAGCCCAGACAGATAGCTGCCCAGAGTGAGGACTGACAGGACCTCCAACTAGAGACGCACCTATACACACTTAACCACTTGCTGAGAGAAAAGCTGTACCCTGTTACCAAAGAAACACTCCCATTGTCTTATTCATTCAGTCTGGATCAGAGTTTACATTCATTGGATCAGAGTTGACATTAATTCTACATCAGCTCTCAAAAGTTGTGTTGTAGTGATTGCCTCACTCAGTATTCAGTGAATCAACTCATGATTGGTTACATTGATCCTGTTGGACTGTAGAAGGTCTCACATCATTGGTTTAGACCTTAATTGGTCTAGATCTTATGCGCAGTAGTGATGTGTAGCTCAGTTGGTAGAGCATGGCGCTTGCAACGCCAGGGTTGTGGGTTAGTTTCCCACGGGGGGCCAGTATGAAAATGTATGCACTCACTAACTGTAAGTCACTCTGGATAAGAGTGTCTGCTAAATGACTAAAATGTAAATGTAAAATATAAATATGCTCTCCAGGACCCACACTTAATGGGAATTTTCCCTTAAGCTAGTTTACATCAGTGTTATTATCACTATCAAGAAGCTCCCCTCTTGGTTTTAGTTCCTGTTGATTGGTTTGTTGTGCTGTGCTCAATCAGATGAGACCCTTACCCTCAGAATTGATTTGGTCTCGCACAGGATACTCACATTACATTTAATGATATTTACATTTTAGTCATTTAGCAGACGCTCTTATCCAGAGCGACTTACAGTCAGTGAATACATATATATATATATATATTTTTTATACTGGCCCCCCGTGGGAATCAAACCCACAACCCTGGCATTGCAAATGCCATGCTCTATCAACTGAGCTACATCCCTGCCGGCCATTCCCTCCCCTACCCTGGACGACGCTGGGCCAATTGTGCGCCGCCCATGAGTCTCCCGGTCGCGGCCGGCTGCGACAGAGCCTGGATTCGAACCAGGATCTCTAGTGGCACAGTTTGCACTGCGATGCAGTGCCTTAGACCACTGCGCCACTCAGGAGTCTGATATCAGAAGTGTTACGAATGCACAACCAAACCGTTTTGATGCTAGGTTTAAAGCTAAACCTAATTTAGGAAAGTTACTGATGTGTCATTTAAATGGGTCTTGAATTGTAGGTCCTCATTGCCACAAATTGTATGAATTGCTATTAACGTTAATACTGCATCGTTTGCAGCTCTACCAACACAATCCTTATTTATATGCAGTTAAATGACCAGTGATGAACCGCTGGATAAACAATATTTAATAACCTTAAATGTGTTTTATCATAGATATGGATGAATAAAAAGTGATATAACCCGATCTGATTCATAAGCATTCAAGTTAGATTTTATATATAAGAAAACACATCACCCCCCCCCCCCCCCCCCCCCCCCCTTTTGAACGCAAATGCTTTATTCTCCTTACTTGTGCTTTTTTTACGCTATCTATTTATGTCAAATTTACAGTGCCCAGAGCCTCTGTCAAATACAAGAGCAGTAATTGACAAGCTGCTTCCCATCTCCTTCAGGGGACTTCTGCCTTAAGATACAGTGCTGCTGTTACATTCCAGCTTATGAGCTTTATATCTGATGTCAAGCGACGCACACCACAGATCAGTTCAGTTTTTTTGGTATTTTATAGACATATTGTAGAATAAAAGTTTTTGTTGAATAACAATGGGATTTTCATTTTTCTTTGGTCCTTTGATTAGGAGATAAATAACTCAAGAATCCCAATGACTTTACATGTATGTTCTTCTCTGTCCTACCACCACTCTTTCTACTAACACAAATAACAAATTAGCACCAAAGAAGGCATACTGATCTGAAAACAGACGTCTAAAAAGGGACTTTTTAATGGTTCTCATCTGGGAATAAGACTTTTCCGTAAGTGGGGCATGGAAGATGGAAGACAATACTACAGAGGTTTAATTATCCAGCTATCAGAAATGAAAAGAAAGAAGGAGAGAACTGAGACTAATAATGGAATCACAGAGTCTGTTATTCTGTGGTTCTTCTACTCACAGCTAAAGAATTCATCCTCCTAAACGCACTACTTACCCTTCAATCAGCCCTCCATCACGTCCAGAGGGTTCATTGATGAAGAATAGATGAAGAATAGACAGGATCTTGTCAGATCTCACTGTTTTGGTACTTCTATGGAAGGAGCTTGATATTTGTAACGGAAAGTATTGTATTAATGACTTGCTGAGGTAGAGAGTCTGATACATGGATATCTTGCTGTTCTAGAATGGTCTATTGATGAGGGATCATGCAGCTTTTGGCCGGCCTAGTAGGGCCTATACGTGTTCTTTGCATGTAGCGGGAGTAGAGGTAAACATACTGAAACACACATACATAACATACATGGTTGATACTAGATTGAAATCACGTCAGGACCCCCTGCATTAACTTCCATTTACGACAGACGTCAAGCACCCTGTGAATCTTTTGTCGGACGTTTCCCCGTTTAGGCAGAGCCAGATCCCATGTTTCACCCTGTTGACGCACTGACGTCCGTGGGGATTGGAGTCCACATATATCAGAGGGCGCAGGGCAAATCACTGGACTTTTACATCAAAGTCAACAGTCCTTTAATTGAACATTACTCAAGGCCCAAACTTATATTTCTTGTTTTGTTTGATCTTAAGAGACTCTCAAAAGTGTTCCCTGCTGGGCTTCAAATTTTTAAAATCAATAATTAATTGTTTAAGTTATTTATTCATGTGTATCTTCACCAATTATGTGCGTCTAATTAACAATTTCAATAATTGATATTTATTTCTGAAAGGGTTCCTTATCACGCTGGCTGCTGAAAAATGCATGAGCAGGGATGCAGACTCTGTTAAGTTTTTTTGTTCTGAGAGAGCTTGATGCTCGGGGCTAGTACCAGGACACTTTGACTCTTCCTCTTTGAGTTGGCACTAGCCCTTGTGATATGGGTCTAATACGGGCTTCTTTCATGGACTCAAAGCCCCAGCTCGGCACCATGTGATCTCATAAAGACTCCTACATGCCCATCCTCAGATACCCTTTTTTTTGTTCTTTAATAACCGGCTTCAAATAATAATGTTCCATGATCATTTTGCTTTGTGTATGGGGGGATGATGATGTCACAAAAGTCTTCAGAGTTGGACCTTGATGTATATGCCTATATGGCTATCCAACTCCATGGCTTATGTTTAAAACTCAAAATAATTAACTTTAATAAAAGTATGCAAAAGAAGTGTGTTCCCGTAACCTCTTTTGATAATGACAGTAGTTAATAAAAACAAAAGGTTGACTTTTATCAAGTTTTCATTTATTTTGGTTCCTATAGGATAGTGGGTTGGGGACTGGCAAAGCACATCATTCTGCTCTGTAACAACCAAAGCTAGAGAGACCATCACCGTTACCATACGAGCATCGCCTGAGCATCGAGGTCTACTTTCCCAGTCTAAGCAAAGCAGCAAAGACCCAACACCAAATGGACCAAAACCCCCAATCACATGAATGTGATTTCAGGGTCAGAATACCACAGTAGATACACAACAGTCGAACAGTGCTAGCAATAGAGGGTAGGGGTGCAGTACAGGATTTAGAATAGGGCTGCTTTAGGGGAGGAATAGGGGGGTCTCGGTTGACCTTCAGGGGGTGACACGTCTCAGGGAGCCAATGGTGGGGTTGGAGCTTCCCCACTCACTGTGCCTCCTGTACTCGCCAGGGCGAAGGAAGTACTGACGACCCCTGTAGTGGGGGTGCTCGTGGAGGATCCAGTAACCCTCCATGACGTTGGCGGAGGAGATGTCGCGGCTGTGGAAGCTTTCGTGCAGGTCGGGGCAGTCCTCCATCATCTCCATGTTCTGACCCCTGAAGTCAGAGCGCTCGTAGATCTTCATCCTGTAGTTTCCATGATACTGGGAAGAAGAAGACAGACAAAATGGAGAATGGATATATTAAATTATACACTTGACTTGACAAACAGTATATAGATGGTAATGTAAGTGTTCCATAATGAATGAAACATAACTTGAACCATGACATTTGTGAAGAAGAAATTGACCGTGTTAAAAAAAAGGTGTTGGGTGGCATTTGTCAGTAATAATCTCTAGCCAAGAAATGATAATAAATGCCAAGGCAGAAAAAAACATTAGACACTGTGGCCCTCAACTCAAGGGACTGAAAACTATGTGGGACTCACAGGGGGCACCATACGGCAGGAGCGGATGCAGTCGTTGAAGCCAGCCCAGCGCTGGTAGTCGGGGTACTCGCCCTTGTTCAGCATGTACTGGTAGCCAGTGTAGTTGGGCTTCTCGTAGGCAACCCAACAACCACTGTCCACCTTAATGGAGTTACAGCGGCTGAAGTGGTTGTGCATCTCAGCACAGTCGCTGCTGCACTCATAGTGGCGGCCCTGAAAGTTCCTGTCCTCGTAGAATATAATCTAGAAAAGAGAGATGGAAAGTGAAAATCAAAATAATAAACACATGATAACCTAATGTAGCAGGCGTAAAAGAAACACCTGAGCGGAGTTCCCACATCCAGTTTCCAGCGGAAAAGGAAGCTAGGTTGAATTAACTGTATCCCTGAAAACCGGATGCATCCTATAGTTGGCAACACCCCTAAGGGTGCACACATGATAACACACATATTGAGGAAATGTTTTGACTGTCTTCTGAAAAATGTAAATAACCTAGCTCAGAATGAATACAGAATTACATTTTCAATAACATTATTTGTATCAGGAACTGCAGTCCAATGTACACCATTTATGATGGGAAATTGAAATAGGCCAAGCCTACCTATAATATATACTTTTAGTACAAGTGTCTAAGAAGAGAGTGTTATTGGACCAATAACAAATTATCCACTGCTCATTTTCACATCCCAAAAACCTCACTGAGGTACATGCACATCCTTTAGGGCATGGGACAAAGGAATGTGTAGTATTGGTGGAAAAACTTGTGTTGTATCAATTGTGCCCGGTGCGAGAGAGACAGGTTGAGGTTGCCAGGATGAGAGTAGAACAGAAGGTGTCGTATGCTGAGGCAGTGAAGAGGATGATGTGTCATGGATGAGTATCAGGCCTAGGCCAATACAGAGTGATACGAATTTGTGCTTCAGTAAGGTCTTCTTAACATTCATTGCCATGGTTATCAACTGTACTGCAGTAACGGAATGTAAACCACAGAAAATAGATGCTGTGGTGGCATTATTTACAGGTTTTACTGCAAAAGAGTTACAAGGTGTGTTGAACGAAATAGTCCGTTAGGATCAACGTAGTGGAATCTGGTGTTGTTTTAATTTTTTTTATTAAATGGTGGTGCAATTCTTCCCTTTCCCCCTTCCTTTTTATTTTTATATCACAAAATGTAACGCGATCGACCACACACTCCCACACAGTAGGTGGCGGCATGCACAAACAAATGTGTGAATGCCATGATACCAAAGAAGAAGAAGAAGAATATGTACATCCTTGAGGCGCCAAGCCCTGCCCACAGGTGATACTTAATTGTTGCACACGATTTCACCTGGGTCATAGCTAGAAGGGATCCAGCATTTGTCAAATTCATGTTAATTTGACAAAAGCTGGATCCCTTCTAGCCATTAACCTTTATCTGTTACAGGTGATGCTGCTCATCATCACGTGACCAGTCCTCGCCATTTGATTTTCTATGTTTTAAAAGGCTAGAAAGTATGCCGATTTGTCAAGAGTCTTCGCCAGCAATTTAGTCAAATAATTTCAAAACAGAATGCAAGCGAAACAACATTGACAAGACGAACAAATGACTTCCATCTTCTGGTTTAGTTGTGAAAGTGAAGTTGAACTACAAGACTGAACCTACACAAGTAGGCCTAGCATTTTGTTAAAGTCCTTCGAAGTAGCTCAAGCCACATACATGTGAATTACATTAATCTGTTAATTTACTTAATTTTATCATACTAAAAGTGTTATTTTAGAATAAAGGAATACTCTACATAATGTGTTGCAAAATGTACATTTATTGTCAGCCACAGCGTGCAATTAGCAGCTATCAGAAAGCTGGTGTGGCAACCTTCACAGCAGTAAAGTTATGATTCAACTAAGTAACCTACAGCAGCAGACTATTTTTACATTTTTAGCAGACGCTCTTATCCAGAGTGATTTACACGAGCAATTAGGGTTAATTGCCTTGCTCAAGGGCACATCGACAGATTTTTCACCTAGTCGGCTCGGGGATTAGAACCAGCAACCTTTCAGTTACTGGCACAACGCTCTTAACCACTAAGCTACCTGCCGCCCCGACTATGGCCTATGCAGTGCTATTACTTAATGTCTGATATTCTTAGGTATTTTTTTCCTGGCAAAATATGCATTATGTGGGTGATAGGGTGCCATTTGACATCTGCCTTTGAGGTATGGGCTTTTTGCAACGCCTTTGTAGTTACATACACTAGTGTTGCTTTCAATTGTATTGGGTTGCACAAAAACAGTCCGTGGGAAGCCAGAAGATAAATCCATTTTAACTTACTGTGCCGGTGGGCAGGATGGTTGGTTATGACGGGGGGGGGGGGGATTTGAGACAAAATATCTAAAGGATCGTATTATTAAACAGACTTTTCAAACATGGGTCTGTTGTAGACCCACTTCCTCTCTGCTTACCTCATGTCAAAATAAAAGTCCTGCACTTGCGCCAAATGTGGAAAAAAAATGAATAACTTGTGGGGGACTTTATTTAGTCTATTTAATAATACAATCCTTTAGATCCCTCAATCTCAAGTCTGGACCTCAAAGCCAGTTCCACTGCATTTATTCATTGTTCTCTAATTAGGGACTTATTTAGACCTGGGACACCAGGGGTGTCCAATTAATTATCAGGTAGAACAGAAAACCAGCAGGCTATGGACCTCGTAAGGTAAGAGTTGAGTACCCCTGCTTTAGATAATAAATACACCCGTGTTGCTAAAAGCACCTACCTTTGAGACTATGCATTTGTGCAGCCCTCCTCTCTGTCCAGTCCATTCATACTTGCACATTAGCTTTGAGCCTTTGACACATTCTATTCACCATCTCCTAAAATCCCCCTCCAATATCATTAATGGCCATTCATTTCTGCATAAATTGCAAGCTATTTAGCTATTTATAACAGTATCCAGCAAAGCCAAATATGAAACATGTATCGCGTTTTATCATAGAAAATTGATAAATAAGCCTCTTTCCTGTATTTCCCTGTGAAACGCATAGTGTCTTCATGCTTACCTTGCTCATTGTGACTGTGTTTAGTTCGGACTGGACCGGGTAGTGAGCGGTACTGGACCTCTTTATAGACCCTGCAGGGATCAGGCCTTTGTAAATGTGACACAAAGCTTTGTCGTGTCAGCACAATGTGCTCTACAGACTACAGAAAACTATAGGGCTGGCCCACAGCAGCAGCTCTTTGTCTCTGTCAAAGCTCTCTATCTCTGTGGAAAATACTGTACAACGGCACTTTCCGAAGTACCACAATAAGAGTTGCAACCTCTGCCTTTATTGGCATAGAGGCTAGCAATGTACAGATAGACTGCCAGAGAGAGAAATACTAGGCCCTCCTAAACAGCTTTAGAATGGATTGAACTTGTTGCAATGAGTGTCTGATTTGCAGTTCATTCAGTCAATCAGTTAGTTAATTAGTTAACTACTCCTGAGTGGCGCAGTGGTCTAAGGCACGGCATCGCAGTGCTAACTGTGCCACTAGAGATCCTGGTTCGAATCCAGGCTCTGTCGCCGCCGGCCGCGACCGGGAGACTCATGGGCGGCGCACAATTGGCTTAGCGTCGTCCAGGGCAGGGGAGGGAATGGCCGGCAGGGATGTAGCTCAGTTGATAGAGCATGGCGTTTGCAACGCCAGGGTTGTGGGTTCGATTCCCATGGGGGGCCAGTATAAAAAAAAAATAAAAAAAAATATGTATTCACTAACTGTAAGTCGCTCTGGATAAGAGCGTCTGCTAAATGACTAAAATGTAAATGTAAATGTTAATAATACACTTAACGTTAGGGCTGTGACATACCAGTATCGCAATATTTTTTCCCATGGCAAAAATGAAAACAGGAAGCAGACCAAACTCTTTGGTCCTTTAAAAACCTGCTGTATGTAAAATATTGTGTGCTATAGATTGGAATATAGATAAATGTGACTCTGGATGACAACATAATGATTTTTGTTTCCAACATTAGGGCTGTTTTACTAAAGAAGTTGAATCCACCTTGTTTTGTTTCCTTGCCATGATACTAACGAGTATGGCGATACTGGTATCATCCCTGCTCAACTTAAAGGAAAACTCCACGTAAAAACGATATTTTGGTATTTGTTTCATTAGTCCATTGTTGATATACTCCCAAAATGTTTTGCATGTCAGCAATCAAGTTTTCAAGATGTATAACTTTCAAAATACAGAAATACAGCTGGATAAATCGTTTATGAGGGTGCATCCATATTTTAGGGCTAATTATAGTATAGTATACATGCACAGCAATTCTCCTGTCTAATAACCATACTCTCTATCCAACACTTGCCATTTGCTGGAACTTAATTATTTACTCAAAAGCTTTGTTATTGTTTTGCCAGTGATTTGAGATGGAAAGAAAATCACACAGAGAAGCCACATTTTAAAAACCAGCACGTTTAATCACTTTGTTACAGTCCAGAGGTGAGAAGCTTACAGGCCACTCCTCATTCTCCTAAAGGAGCCCACCATGGGGTTGTGGCAGCCCCAGTCGCTGCAGGCCCTGTACTCGCCGGGGCGGAGGAAGTACTGACGACCCCTGTAGTTGGGGTGCTCGTAGAACACCCAGTAGCCTTCCATGACGTTGGAGGAGAAGATGTCACGGTAGCGGAAACGCTCATACACGTCGGGGCAGTCGTCCATGAATTCCATCATGTGACCAGACATCTCAGGCCTGTTGTAGATTCTCATCCTGTAGGCTCCTCTGTACTGTTGGCGGAAGAGACAGAAAGGAGAGGATAGGGAGAACATGAAGTGATTAGGGGCGTAATGATCACAGAGGTCACAGTAGAGTTTTATACACTGGGCAATCTAAGCATTTCTACACATCGATTAATACCAGAGACTTGATTCCTTTAGAAATAGATCTTCAGTCAAATGAGGAGCAACCTCTCAAAGCAGCAGTATAATACTTTTTTTTTAAACTGCCAAAAACACTGAGTGATGATGAATAGAATGAAAATTAAGAAGGTAAGTCTTTGGGGGTGCATGTAGCCTATTCCTTTATAACATGACTGGATCTCCTTGTGGTACTTTGATGCTTTGACTCCTCTCTGTATCTATAAATGACATCAAAAGGCTGGTGATTGACGCTGATTTCTAAAGTGCCATTTGATGTGTGGCAGGAGTAACCCTATCCATCAGTTTGATTGACTTACGGGGGGGAACATCTGGCAGGAACGGATGCAGTTATTGAAGCCCATCCAGCAGTGGTAGTCAGAGTACTCTCCCTTGTTCAGGATGTACTGGTAGCCGTTGAAGTTGGGCTTCTCGTAGGCCACCCAGTGACCGCCGGTCACCCTGATAGAGTTACAGCAGTTGAAGTGTCTGAAGGTGTCAGCACAGTCACTGTTGCACTCATAGTGTCGACCCTGGAAGTTGTGGCCTTCGTAAAAGATAATCTACAAAGAACAGAAATGTATAAAATAGTTTATGTAGAGAGTTATTTATACTGAGTCGGGATGATGGTAGTAAAATGACTTTTGACTGAAAGCCATACTCATGGATGTAGTGTTGCTCCTCAACAAGCTAGCTCCCTCAACAAGCTAGCTCCCTCAGCAAGCTAGCTCCCTCAACAAGCTAGCTCCCTCAGCAAGCTAGCTCCCTCAGCAAGCTAGCTCCCTCAGCAAGCTAGCTCCCTCAACAAATGTTATTTGATTTGAAACTGTGGCAAGCTTAAGAAGCATTGTGCCTAAGTATGTTTGATCTGGTCTGTTAAGGGACGCTGCACACCATAGATATCTCTCACTGTATTGAGATACACTACCGTTCAAAAGTTTGGGGTCATATAGAAATGTCCTTGTTTTCGAAAGAAAAGCAATTTTTTTGTCCATTAAAATAACATCAAATTGATCAGAAATACAGTGTAGACTTTGTTAATGTTGTAAATGGCTATTGTAGCTGGAAGCGGCTGATTTTTAATAGAATATCTACATAGGCGTACAGAGGCCCATTATCAGCAACCATCAGTCCTGTGTTCCAATGGCACGTTGTGTTTGCTAATCCAAGTTTATCATTTTAAAAGGCTAATTGATCATTAGAAAACCCTTTTACAATTATGTTAGCACAGCTGAAAACTGTTGTGCTGATTAAAGAAGCAATAAAACTGGCCTTCTTGAGACTAGTTGAGTATCTGGAGCATCAGCAATTGTGGGTTCGATTACAGGCTCAAAATGGCCAGAAACAAATAACTTTCTTCTGAAACTCGTCAGTCTATTCTTGTTCTGAGAAATTAAGGCTATTTTATGCTAGAAATTGCCAAGAAACTGAAGATCTCGTACAACGCTGTGTACTACTCCCTTCACAGAACAGCGCAAACTGGCTCTAACCAGAATAGAAAGAGGAGTGGGAGGCCCCGGTCCACAACTGAGCAAGAGGACAAATACATTAGAGTGTCTAGTTTGAGAAACAGGCTCCTCACAGGTCCTCAACTGGCAGCTTCATTAAATAGTACCCGCAAAACACCAGTCTCAACATCAACAGTGAAGAGGCGACTCCGGGATGCTATCCTTCTAGGCAGAGATGCAAAGAAAAAATGCCATATCTCAGACTGGCCAATAAAAAGAAAACATTAAGATGGGCAGTCTGAGATATGGCTTTTTCTTTGCAACTCTACCTAGAAGGTCAGCATCCCGGAGTCGCCTCTTCACTGTTGACATTGATACATGGAATAGCCTTCATTTCTCAGAACAAGAATACACTGACGAGTTTCAGAAGAAAGTTATTTGTTTCTGGCCATTTTGAGTCTACATTGTATTTCTGATCAATATGATGTTATTTTAATGGACAAAATAAATGATTTTCTTTCAAAAACAAGGACATTTCTAAGTGACCCCAAACTTTTGAACGATAGTGTACATTTTGAGAAAGTTATTGCAAGGCTGATGTCAACATTGTGAACAGAGTGCTCCATGGTGGCGGTGGGGTTATGGTATGGGCAGGCATAAGCTACGGACAACGAACACAATTGCATTTTATTGATTGCAATTTGAATGCACAGAGATGCCGTGACGATATCCTGAGGTTCATTGTCGTTCCATTAATCTCAAATCAAATCAAATCAAATTGTATTGGTCACATGCGCCGAATAAAACAGGTGCAGACATTACAGTGAAATGCTTACTTACAGCCCTTAACCAACAGTGCATTTATTTTTAACAAAAAAAGTAAAAATAAAACAACAACAAAAAAAGTGTTGAGAAAAAAAAGAGCAGAAGTAAAATAAAATAACAGTAGGGAGGCTATATATACAGGGGGGTACATTTGCAGAGTCAATGTGCGGAGGCACCGGCTAGTTGAGGTAGTTGAGGTAATATGTACATGTGGGTAGAGTTAAAGTGACTATGCATAAATAATTAAAAGAGTAGCAGCAGCGTAAAAAGGATGGGGTGGGGGGGCAGTGCAAATAGTCCGGGTAGCCATGATTAGCTGTTCAGGAGTCTTATGGCTTGGGGGTAGAAGCTGTTGAGAAGTCTTTTGGACCTAGACTTGGCACTCCGGTACCGCTTGCCGTGCGGTAGCAGAGAGAACAGTCTATGACTAGGGTGGCTGGAGTCTTTGACAATTTTGAGGGCCTTCCTCTGACACCGCCTGGTATAGAGGTCCTGGATGGCAGGAAGCTTGGCCCCAGTGATGTACTGGGCCGTACACACTACCCTCTGTAGTGCCTTGCAGTCGGAGGCCAAGCAGTTGCCATACCAGGCGGTGATGCAACCAGTCAGGATGCTCTCGATGGTGCAGCTGTAGAATGTTTTGAGGATCTGAGGACCCATGCCAAATCTTTTCAGTCTTCTGAGGGGGAATAGGCTTTGTCGTGCCCTCTTCACGACTGTCTTCGTGTGTTTGGACCATGATAGTTCGTTGGTGATGTGGACACCAAGGAACTTGAAGCTCTCAACCTGTTCCACTACAGCCCCGTCGATGAGAATGGGGGCGTGCTCAGTCCTCTTTTTTTTCCTGTAGTCCACAATCATCTCCTTTGTCTTGGTCACGTTGAGGGAGAGGTTGTTGTCCTGGCACCACACGGCCAGGTCTCTGACCTCCTCACTATAGGCTGTCTCATCGTTGTCGGTGATCAGGCCTACCACTGTTGTGTCGTCGGCAAACTTAATGATGGTGTTGGAGTCGTGCCTGGCCATGCAGTCATGGGTGAACAGAGAGTACAGGAGGGGACTGAGCACGCACCCCTGAGGGGCCCCCGTGTTGAGGATCAGTGTGGCATATGTGTTGTTACCTACCCTTACCACCTGGGGGCGGCCCGTCAGGAAGTCCAGGATCCAGTTGCAGAGGGAGGTGTTTAGTCCCAGGATCCTTAGCTTAGTGATGAGCTTAGAGGGCATTATGGTGTTGAATGCTGAGCTGTAGTCAATTAATAGCATTCTCACGTAGGTGTTCCTCTTGTCCAGGTGGGAAAGGGCAGTGTGGAGTGCAATAGAGATTGCATCATCTGTGGATCTGTTGGGGCGGTATGCAAATTGGAGTGGGTCTAGGGTTTCTGGGATAATGCTGTTGATGTGAGCCATGACCAGCCTTTCAAAGCACTTCATGGCTACAGACGTCAGTGCTACAGGTCTGTAGTCATTTAGGCAGGTTATCTTAGAGTCCTTGGGCACGGGGACTATGGTGGTCTGCTTGAAACATGTTGGTATTACAGACTCAGTCAGGGACATGTTGAAAATGTCAGTGAAGACACTTGCCAGTTGGTCAGCACATGCTCGGAGTACATGTCCTGGTAATCCGTCTCGCCCTGCGGCCTTGTGAATGTTGACCTGCTTAAAAGTCTTACTCACATCGGCTACGGAGAGCGTGATCACATAGTCATCCGGAACAGCTGGTGCTCTCATGCATGCTTCAGTGTTGCTTGCCTCGAAGCGAGCATAGAAGTGGTTTAGTTCGTCTGGTAGGCTTGTGTCACTGGGCAGCTCGCGGCTGTGCTTCCCTTTGTAGTCTGTAATAGTTTTCAAGCCCTGCCACATCCGACGAGCGTCAGAGCCAGTGTAGTACGATTCAATCTTAGTCCTGTATTGACTCTTTGCCTGTTTGATGGTTCGTCGGAGGGCATAGCGGGATTTCTTATAAGCGTCCGGGTTAGAGTCCCGTTCCTTGAAAGCGACAGCTCTACCCTTTAGCTCAGTGCGGATGTTTCCTGTAATCCATGGCTTCTGGTTAGGGTATGTACGTACGGTCACTTTGGGGACGACATCATCAATGCACTTATTGATGAAGCCAGTGACTGATGTGGTGTACTCCTCAATGCTGTCTGAAGAATCCCGGAACATGTTCCAGTCTGTGCTAGCAAAACAGTCCTGTAGCTTAGCATCTGCGTCATCTGACCACTTTTTTATTAACCGAGTCACTGGTGCTTCCTGCTTTAGTTTTTGCTTATAAGCAGGAATCAGGAGGATAGAGTTATGGTCAGATTTGCCAAATGGAGGGCGAGGGAGAGCTTTGTATGCGTCTCTGTGTGTGGAGTAAAGGTGGTCTAGAGTTTTTTTTCCTCTGGTTGCACATTTAACATGCTGGTAGAAATTAGGTAGAACGGATTTAAGTTTCCCTGCATTAAAGTCCCCGACCACTAGGAGCGCTGCATCTTGATGAGCGTTTTCCTGTTGATTTATGGCCTTGTACAACTCATTCAGTGCAATCTTAATGCCAGCATTGGTTTGTGGTGGTAAATAGACAGCTATGAAAAATATAGATGAAAACTCTCTTGGTAAATAGTGTGGTCTACAGCTTATCATAAGATACTCTACCTCAGGCGAGCAAAACCTCAAGACTTCCTTAGTATTTGTGCACCAGCTGTTGTTTACAAATATACACAGACCGCCACCCCTTGTCTTACCGGAGTGAGCCGTTCTATCCTGCCGATGTAGCGTATAGCCCGCTAGCTGTATGTTATCCATGTCGTCGTTCAGCCACGACTCGGTGAAACATAAGATATTACAGTTTTTAATGTCCCGTTGGTAGGATAACCGTAATCTTAGGTCATCCAATTTGTTATCCAATGATTGAAGATTGATCTGCCGCCATCACCTCGTGTTTCAGCCCATATCACAAGGATCTGTACACAATTCCTGGAAGCTGAAAATGTCCCAGTTCTTCCATGGCCTGTTTACTCACCAAATATGTCACCCATTGAGCATGTTTGGGATTTACATTTACGTCATTTAGCAGACGCTCTTATCCAGAGTGCATTCATTATTTTTATTGATTTTTCATACTGGCCCCCCATGGGAATCGAACCCACAACCCTGGCGTTGCAAACGCCATGCTCTACCAACTGAGCTACATCCTTGCCGGCCATTCCCTCCCCTACCCTGGACGACGCTGGGCCAATTGTGCGCCACCCCATGGGTCTCCCGGTCGGCTACGACAGAGCCTGGCTTCGAACCAGGATCTCTAGTGGCACAGCCTTAGACCACTGCGCCACTCGGGGATGTTCTGGATCGAGGTGTTCCAGATCCCGCCAATATCAAGCAACTTCTCACAGCCATTGAAGAGGAGTGGGACAACATTCCACAGGCCACAATCAACAGCCTGATCAACTCTAAGGATTCACTCCCCTACTTTATTTTTAAGGTATCTGTGACCAACACAGATGCATATCTGTATTCCCAGTCATGTGAAATCCATAGATTAGGGCCTAGTTTATTTATTTCAATTGACATATTTTCCTTATGTGAGCTGTAACTCAGTAAAATCTTTGAAATTGTTGCATGTTGCGTTTAGTTTTACAACTGAAGTCTTTAACATAGCTTCATAAATTGTATGCGTAGCTTACTTTGCCAAATAGCTTCCCTATACCTTAAGCCTAACAGCATTTGGTTATCCCCCTAATTACATCAGCAATCATCAAACAAGTAAGCTAAACGTGTTAGCTCATACCTTTCCCATGGTTGGAGGGCTTGATGTCTGCACCGTAGCCCTCAGCAGACTCACAGGTCCTTTTTTTATACTCTTCTACTGACAGTAAAATAGACCTGTGTCTACATCGTAGTGACTAGAAGTTACCTTTTTAGACATCAGTTACCATTCCAATTGTCTCTCAAACCATAGGCTCCTCTTTACCCACAAGTGCTAGAGTTTACCGAAACAAATATGAAAACTCCCCCTCTACCCCATATGCCTGCCTCATTCTGTTTTCTCTACACAGACCCTTGTTCAGCCATGACCTGGTGATGCACCCATTGAAACATCACACAAAAGGCCTTTAGGTATGTAGTGTGAACAACAGAGCTTTTAATGTTTGCAGGAGGTGAGACTGTTCGTGCACTCTCTAGTAAACAAAACAAAGCCATATTTCTACAAATATTTGGGGTTGATGTGAATTTTTTTTATTGAATGTTGATATGACAAAGTTACGAAAATGTTAAATGGATTATCATCGTTTATTTCAGTGTGGGTTCATGTTTTCCCTCTCCCTGATCTCAGGTCACAGAATCGTGGTTGTGTTTTGTTCATAGACCTGTGTGTGTGTAAGTGATTCTGATGTTATTGATTGAATCAAGCCCTTGTGTTGATGTAATCTAGAGTGATCTGTTCTCTTTTTGCTTCCATAGCCTGCAGACCTACTCTGATGCCATGTACAGACAACTGTGTGTGTGTGTGTGTGTGTGTGTGTGTGTGTGTGTGTGTGTGTGTGTGTGTGTGTGTGTGTGTGTGTGTGTGTGTGTGTGTGTGTGTGTGTGTGTGTGTGTCAAAGGGAGGGCATAGTTGTGTCTGAGTGTATGTGAAAAGTAATAGTGCTTTGGCTTGTAAAACATACCCCAGAGCGTAAGGGAAAAGGCCAGAAAGAGTTGCCCTTGTGTGTTCTGTTCCCAAAGCCCAGCTGATGCCAGAAAGGTCAGTCTCATCCTTTAGCCTTTCATGAGGATAAAGAGCCCATGCCCTCTCTCTACTTCTGCATTTTGCTGCTTCAACTCTGTAGAAAGACTATGTTTTCTGAAACACAATAGCCATTCTGTTCCTGGGCAAAAACCTGCTACTCTGGCAACGTTTCTAACCAAATGTGACTCATTTTCAGAGTTAAAGAACAGTTGATGAGCTTTAATTTTTTGATAATCGTTGCCTTGAAATTCCCCTTGGCTTCTTTAGGTTTCATGTTTTAAGCGGCACTCTATGACATAAGTAGATCATTGATATCCTTTTATCACATTGTGCAGTGTAATTGTCTCTGATTCATCAGATGTCTGCTTCTCTAAAGGTTCTTGTGATAATTGTTTGTTGTTGTTGAAAATGTGACCAGATTGAGGTCTTGGGTGCATAATAGGACTCAGTCTTCATCAGACTCTTCGTTAGACACTTCATCATTCTAGTTGCACTCATCTTAGGTTTTTTTGCTAACGCTTTTGGACTGCATCTTCATCGTTGTCGTTAACACCACTATCATCATCATCATCATCATCATCATCATCATCCTCCTCCTCCTCCTCCTCCTCATCATCATCATCCTCCTCATCATCATCATCATCCTCCTCCTTATCATCATCATCCTCATCCTGGGGGGGGGGGGGGGGGGGGGGGGGGGGGGGGGGCATTGCAGCCATCTCTGTGTTGTCCAAGGAACACACAGTGCCAGGGTTGGGGAGTAATCAGTTACATGTAATCTGATTACAAAAAACGAACTATAATCAGTTACGTATGTTACCAGAAAAAATATTGTAATCAGATTAAATATACTTTGGAAAAACTACATGATTACTTATTGGATTTCTTTTAAATTCAGAAAGGATGTTTGTTGGGAAAAAACTACTTCTTGGATTACTTTTAAATTCACACTATGACACCTTTCTGTTTTCTCAATGACATTCAGTAACTGAGCATAATCAGATTACATTATTGAGTTTGGGTAACCCACAGTACAGTACTGATTACAATTTCGGACAGGTAACTATTAACTGTAACGGATTACATTTAGAAAGTAACCTACCCAACCATGCATAGTGCAATATGTGTAGGCTAATCACATAGGAAATGATGACACTATTAGCCCACTGAAAGGGGCCTTGGAGATTGATTTGCACTCTGCAGTGCAGAGAATGTTGACAGAAATCAGCCTAATGCTGGTTAACTCTCAACCTTTTTAAAAAATCTTACACAGTTGGGAAAGAAAGAGCCATACCACATATTTGATAGGCTACCTAATTAAACTGAGCCTATAACATCATGCAAACAGATTTTAGTCAAAACAAAGAGACATTGAATTGCACTAAAACTGAACATGGCTTCAAATTCCAAACCATGATGTCTTTAAACTCACTGTCAAAAACCATCACAATATATCTCCAAAATATTGCAGGCAGAGATAGGACCACTTAGCCTAAGTAGGCCTCCAATGTGGCCCTTTCTAAGCAGTCATTTAAAGAACACTATCTTGCTGACTCTTCTGGGGTGTAAACAAGGGGTCTGTATAAATATATTAATTCGATGGAGGCTTCTCTTCAGAATTGGCTAATCTGGTGTTGAAAACGCGGCGTGATCGGTCTGTGCTTGCCAAAGTCTCCCACGTGAATAGAGTGAATACCTGTTTTGCTTAGAGATCATCCTCCCCATTCTTCCATTAAACATTTCCAGGCAGCCTCTCTCTCTGCCAACGCGCGTTCTCTATCGGGTTTGCCAGACGCAGACGCGGGAACTGCTATGAGCTCGTGCCAGGGCTGGGATTTACCGCGATGCGTCTGATGTGCTCCATCTTTTTGCTTGGGGATAATTAAAAGAGGAAATGGTGCTGGAAGAACAGAACGGAGGAGGAGATGGAGGAGAGGGAGAGGGCGGGGAGGGGGTGCAGCTGTCATTTATTTTAAGCCGTTCACACATGTTGTTTTTCCCTCATTTGTGACTTTGCTTAAAACTTTTCTCACCTGAGGATTTTGTATAAATCCCTCACTGGGAATGAAGCAGACAACACACAGGTGGACATTTTAGCCAATGTGGTTTTTCGGGGGAGTTAGGTTTAGGCCTATGCTTCATTCAGCCTATAGGCCTACATTGCCATTTTTTATGAAATAACCCTGCTATTTAGCCTACTTGGAAAGGCCATAGTTCACAATCTAAACACAAAACTTGAACCTTGCACCATAAACGAGACTAACTGAATAGTAAACCCACTTCTTCCTATCCAAACATTCACATCAATTTCACATGTGGGAGTAGCCTAGATCCGAAATGGATCTTGGTCTCAAAGTGTTTCCCCATCTCTAAACTCTATGTCTCGCATGCCCCAAAGCTTTGATCCACGCACCTTTCAAACAATTCATGCTGTTTACTGACACATGACAAAAAAGTTAGGCTACACCTCACCTCAGCCGTGCTTGTGCATTTAGAGCCCGGTAGAAAACAAACGGGGAATTCAGTTTGAAGGAGCTCTAACTTTCACCAATCCCTAAATTTATAATCACATGTGATGCCATTTCTTACTTCCTCAAATGTGTCATCAAAACAAATGTGTTCTGACAACAGTTAGTGACAAGTGCGCCAAAGGAGAGGCGGGAAATCAGCGGTTGGGCTTGCTATCAATTATTGATTGCGTCGCGCCCGACCAACCAGCAGACTTCTTGTGATAGGCTAATGAAATACATGAATTTCAAAACAAAAAAATAAACCAAGGTCGGCCCCATTGTTGTGTGAAGGCTTGTGAGTTTGATTGACTGATTGAACATTTTCCTCGTTTGCTAGTGCGGCTGATCAAAGGCGGGCCCTTATTGCCCAAGGCCACTTGCAATTTATTTAGAGGGGCTGTGCCGCTGTCCCAGCAGGTAACAATACTGGGCCAAGCCACTCAGGATAATCATAGCTTTGAGGTGTCTCCCCCTCCCCCCATAGGCCACACACACACGCACACACACGCACGATTAAGAGGAAACATCCATATTAGGCTGATTTAGATTAAATTGGTAATACGCAAGGGTGTATTTTGCGCTCACATTCTGAATAGCCTCAAAGGAATACCCACCTTACCTTGATAAAAATCTATAGGCCAACCAAGTGTTTTTCATGTAGGCCTATAGCTTAGACTTTATTTATAGTTAATTTCGGACCCATGTCCTGATTTCCAACATGCCTTATCTGATGAAAATATCACGTGACAATTCTTCCCTCAAGTTTGTTTATATTTTCATTTGAATTATTATTAGTTGTTTACTTTGAATACAGTACCCCAGGCCTGATACATTAGGCTATCCGTTACAAAGCAGTTGAGTAGCATAACCTGCAGTTATAGAAAGAGAAGAGGGAAATAACGTGGTGTCACAAGAAAAACGATTCTTGGATATTAGAAATTAAAGGAAAATGCTTTCTATTAAGAAAAGGTTACACACAACGGAATTCTAGTAGTAGGTTACTATAATTTAATGGGGATAAACACATTTGAGCTGGTGCGAAAAAGAAAGAATATTGGTGCATCCGAGAGTGGAAAACAAGTTCCATGTTGTCTTTGTAGTAGGCTACATCTGCATGCCACCTTGATACATTATTTTAGAAAGTGTGTTTGAAAACCCGTCCTGTGTACCGCATTAATAATACACGACAGAGAGCATATTAACGGTGTGCATATTCTGCGTCCGGACGCACTCGGGTGTTTACGAGCATGTGCCAAAAACAATAGGGGTCTCAGATCTCTTCCCCATAGGAACCCGTCAGAAACAGAAGTCTGAAATACTATACCAGTTTTACTCATCTGACGGAGCTTTTATCTCAACATTTTCAAATTACAGCGAGGCCATCATTTCAGAACCGTTTTTAATAATCAGAACCCAAGAGAGAGAAATGTTTTAACTTTTGCAAGCACAGGTTTGAGTTCAGGTGGCATAGTGATCTGAACAGATAAACTATTGTATTGAATTGTGTTGTATTATTTGTAATATTAGTATAGTAAATGTAGTCTGCCTACGTTATAGGCATAGCCCAATAGTAGCTATAATAATAGGCCTATAGGTGTCATGCTTTGATAAGAGGTCAACTTAAAAACGTTGCAAGCAGACTTTATTTTTCCTTTCATTATTAAAAATCTGTTTATTTTTTATTCACTCTATTATTTTATGCAAATAGGCTAATTTACAATAATTTATTTAGTCATATGTTTCAAATGCCCTGTCAAAATATGAGATTTACGTTTCAGTAATGTAGCCTAATATTGTCTGATTGCACAGGTTATGGCACTATTTGATATTAAAAAGGTATCTTTGGATTAAGACTTTTTCTAGCACCATAAACATTTAGAATGTTTTTTTTTTGTCTTATATTAAGAGGAAGATAGAATGTGTAGGCTAGGCTACAATCAATTTTTAAATAGAGGTGAATTTCATAATGATGGTTCTCTTACCTTGTTCCTGACCGGTTTTGACTAGACGGATACAGCTTTTGTCAGATGTGACTTTTCGTAGCAGGTTAGGAGAATTAACGTAGCAGGTTAGGAGAATTAACGTAGCAGGTTAGGATGATTAGATTAAGGTTAGGGAAAAGGTTAGGGTTACCTAAAATGCATTTTAAAAACTTTTGACGTTAATTTGACAAACTGTATCGCTTCTTGCCATGACCCTGCTGCCCTCCCACTAATGAGATTTATTCAATCTCTTGGATTTGAATAGACTCCAATTAATTAATTCAAAGTCCATGTGATGTGGCATCACTTTCTCTCATTGCTTTTTTGTCCTCTCATTTGTCGAGCAGAAACCGTTTATATGGACGAGTGAATACTGCAATAACATTGATTTTAGGGATTTATCTTTTTGAAGGACATGAAGGATGAGCCAGACCATGTGTTTCATTCAGTACTCAGCACTAAGTAAAAACACTACCGACTGCATCTGTATGCAACCTGCTCTTTTATGAGTTGAAAATAATGAAGTCCGTTGGTCAACTTTTTATAGCTCCTTGTAGAATACAATGACATTATCCATTTGGGATCCATGTGTTATCAAGACGCCAATGCTTTCTTGTACGTCTATGGATCCAACGTGTTAGAACAGTGACTCGTTACCACTAGAGGGCACTAGAACCCAAAACATAGGCCTTTCTCAGATAATCTGTCACCTGCCTTTATGCTGTATCTCTGAGGCAGTTTATTGAGAGAGAGAGAGAGAGAGAGAGAGAGAGAGAGAGAGAGAGAGAGAGAGAGAGAGAGAGAGAGAGAGAGAGAGAGAGAGAGAGAGAGAGAGAGAGAGAGAGAGACTTTGGGACACAGTCACAGATGTATATTTGCTGAGGTAGACATGTAGCACATAGATGTGTGTTCTCCGGGGGAGATGTAGGGGCACACAGCACAGATTTGTGTTTACTGGCTCTGTGGTCCCTTTCTTTGCACTAAATACTATAATTGTGTGCAGACACAGGGTTTTGCTCAGTGGAGGCAGCACCAGGGCGTTTTAAGCAGCCACTGAGAGAGAGGTGACCTGTCACCCAGAATATAACAAACATACATGTACTGCTGATGTCAAACTGGCTGCCACAAGACTGAGTTTAGCTATGGTACATGCTCACATATCTACATTGACATACACTTGTGACACACACACACACACAAACACACACACACACACACACACACACACACACACACACACACACACACACACACACACATACACACACTCAGTCACCCCTACAACAATAGGCAGTTGGCTTTGTACCAGTTTGTAGCTCAGTGGATGTGGATGCTGATTGAAAGATCAGTGGAAAACCTGCAGGACTGCAGAGATGCCAGTTCTCCCATTGGGAGGGGCTCTGTCCAGGCCTTTGTGCTGTTGACCATTCACTCCATTAATTTAGCTTCATTCTCTCAAAAGCACCAGTGTGGCCAATTGATCATTCAAAAGTATGTCCTCAAGCCAGTCTATCTGTCCTCATAGCATGCCATATATGCTGTGTGCCATATGCATTCAGTCAACATTTTAGATGTGGTATAGCTGGGTAGCTAGTATACTCTTGTGGTACCTCACTCAAATCAAATCACATTTTATTGGTCGCGTACACGTATTTTGCAGATGTTATAGTAGGTGAAACAAATGCTTTTGTTTCTAGCTCCAACAGTGCAGTAATACCTAACAATACAAAACAATACAAAAATTTAAATAATGAAATTAAGAAATATCCGAGTGAGCAATGTCAGAGTCTGGAATATAAATACATACACTACCGGTCAAAAGTTTTAGAACACCTACTCATTCAAGGTTTTTTTTTATTTTTACTATTTTCTACATTTTAGAATAATAGTGAAGACATCAAAACTATGAAATAACACATATGGAATCATGTAGTAACCTCCTCCTCCATGCTTTACGATGGGATATACACATGCAGAGATCATCCGTTCACCCACACCGCGTCTCATGGCGGTTGGAACCAAAAATCTCCAATTTGGACTCCAGACCAAAGGACAAATTTCCACATGTCTAATGTTCATTGCTCGTGTTTCTTGGCCCAAGCAAGTCTTTTCTTGGTAGTAGTGGTTTCTTTGCAGCAATTCGACCATGAAGGCCTAATTCACACAGTCTCCTCTGAACAGTTGATGTTGAGATGTGTCTCTTACTTGAACTCTGTGAAGCATTTCTTTGGGCTGCAATTTCTGAGGCTGGTAAATCTAATGAACTTATCCTCTGCAGCAGAGGTAACTCTGGGTCTTCCATTCCTGTGGCGTTCCTCATGAGAGCCAGTTTCATCATAGCGCTTGATGGTTTTTGCGACTGCACAAAGTTCTTGAAATGTTCTGTATTGACTGACCTTCATGTCT